ATAAAAATTTTAAATGTGGGGGGAAAAAGAAGGAAATTAAAAATAGTAATGGTCTACAGGATGAAGTTCAAAGTCTTCATTCTGTCATTTGAAGCTGTATTTTATCTGGCCTGATGCTACTGTGCCCTCTTTATTTCTTGCCATATGCCCCTACAAACCCTGTATTATGCCCAAAGCAGTGTCTTGCTTGTCACTTGAATTTAGCAAGTTAATTCTGAATGTTCCACCCTTGCTCATGCTCCCTCCTGACTGCCATTCAGAGCACACTGTCTGCCTTCCTTCTTTGCCTCTCCAGATTCTGGCCATTCAACCAAGTTCTGCTTCCTTTGCGCCTTTCCCTAGAACCATTGCTTATGCTTTTGGTTTGTTAGAAGAACTAACATATTGCTATACCCATTGGAAGGGTTCCATAAATACATGTTACATAAGTGAGGAAGGGAATGGAGGAACTTATTTAGAGACATATAAAAAAGACATTAAGAATAAAAGCTTTGGTAAATAATGAAAGACATGGTGAATTAGAGCAGCTCCAGAACCAAAATAAGATGAACAAGCCTATTAAATAGAAATGATTTTCTAGGTTCAAGTTGCAGATCAAGCTTAAGCTCTAAAGCTTTTCTTGGCTGGGCGTAGTGGCTGATGCTTGTAATCCCCACACTTAGGAAGGCCTAAGTAGGAGGATTGCTTGAGCCCAGGAGTTTGAGACCAGCTGGGACAACATACCAAGACCCCTATCACTACAAAAAAAATTTTTTTAAATAGCTAGGCATGGTAGTGTTTGCCTGTAGTCCCAGCTCCTTAGGAGGCTGAGGCAGAAAGATGGCTTGAGTCCACGAGGTAAGGACTGCAGTGAGCTGATTGTGCCACTACACTCCAGTCTGGGAAACAAAGCAAGACTCCATCTCCCCCCCCAAAAAAAAAAAAAAAAAGTTTTTCTTTACTTTTTCTTTGGCATTTCCGACTTAAGCCAGTGAGAATTCTTCCTCATTCTTTTTTACTCACTGCTTTAATTTTTGTTATGAGAATTTTTTTTCCTCCAACTTGGATGATCTTTCCATTTTTTTCAGTTGTCTATACATGTAGATAACTAAAAACAGCAAAGTTCTTAGTGATTCTGCTTCATGTCTGTCTGTTCCCCACCTCCATTTCCTACCACGCACCCCATAATTCCCCCAGTACATCGCTAAACTACCAACAAAACCTAAAATAGACTAGTTTGTTTAACTGTATTTTCTCCTTCCAGTCCTCTTAAAATGTGTAGCAAAATGTCTCCAGAGGCAAGCAGTTAAGAGAATAAAGAGGAGGTGTTCTCCCCATCGCAGTTATTCAGCCCCGGAAGTATTGATTGGAAGGCACTGAATTTTCAAAATGACTTTCAGATTTAGTACATGGTAATAATTTGAGGCTTTCCCACATGGATAATGTAAATGTTCAGAAAATATGTTATAGCTGAATGGGCAGCAAATTAGCCAGAATTTTAACTTATAAGATGCCATGGTGAAGATTAATGTGAAGTAAAGAGCCACTGGTAGGGAAGAGAAGACAGCAATATGCTTTCAACGAAACCGTCAATTTATAAAAACATGTATATTGAAAAGGGAGGGTGGATCAGATCCTGAAAGAACTGGGACATCGCAGGCTCCGTAACTAAAGGAGTCTGCCCATATTTGGGAGGTAATAGATGTCTTGTAGGCAGGGAATAGCAGATTCTGCTTGAATGTACGACACCTTAGAGGTGGGAGTCACAGTACTTGGAATGAGATTATAGAAGACCTCTCCACAGGTTTCCAAGACTAGAGGATTTTGTTTGGTGCATAATAGATGAGAGCAAGCCAGTAGTATTTGATTGTTGAAGCCAGCTGTTTGGATGTAACATAGTGGAAGCAGGTGCTTCTGCAGATGTGGCCCTCTCTGGTTGCCTAGCCCTAATATATCGTTCATGGTCATACACTCATTTCTCGTATAAAAACTACTAGCTGGTAGCAGTCTAAGCCCGCAGACATTGCTGAAGCTGGTTTCTTTTGATATTGTTTTCTTTGTAACAATTTCCTGTTTGGTACATAAAATAACAAGCTCATGATATTAAGTCTGCGCCTTCTCCTCCCTGGCAAAGTAAAATTCTAGAAAGGTTACTAAACATTAGTGGTTCAAAATGAAATCTGTTCATTTTAACTGCTTACAGGAAAATTTAAACTCAACTGGTTTAAACTCATTGCTTAGCCTGTTGTATGCTCCATTGAAAACACAAATAAAAAACTGCGTGTTTCTTCTAGAGTTTATTATTCAGTCATTCCAGTGTCCAAATCCATCAGGCAGAACAGAATCATTCACGTTTCTCCTCTGCACTGTGGTCTTCTCCACATGGAAGGCTGTCATGGAAAAGGATCTGGTGAAGGTTTTTGCAAATCTAAGGATCTTTTTTCTATCCTTTTATTTTTGCAAACCTAAGCACCTTCTTTCTGGATAATTTCCAGAGACTTCAACTTTGCTGAATCTCATTTGCTGGGATTTTTAGCAACCTGTCCCCACTCTCCTAAGAAAAAAATCTTAATGGTGACTTGTGTGTGCAGACTTTAATTTGTAAGTGAAAGTTACAGTGTTTCAAAAGTTGTAGGTTAGTTGGTGGATCGTTAAATGCAGTTTTGTTCATAGTCACCATTTATTAAGTGCCCACTTTGTTAAACACTCTTAGATACTGTAAAGAGAAGAATATGGTCTCCTTAAGGAACAGAGAGAGAGGCTAGATCTTTACAAGAGAGGGTGTTTTTCAGGAGCCAGAAGAATAGGTTATATATGTATTCAGATAATAGAGTAGATAGGGGACATTTCTTGTAGGGGATCCATGGAGAATTCACAGAAGTATTATTTTTTTCATTAATGAATGAGAGTATTTGTCTTCTCATAGAAGTAGCTATAATGATTCTATCTGTGGTCCTGACTGCCACACCCCTTGTGATCATTAAGTTAATTTTAGAACCTTGGGAAGGAAGCTAGGAAGCAGAGGCTCTCATTGCTGGCCAGCTGCCATTGTCAGTTTGGGAAGTCTCCACTAGTCAGAAGGTGATGAGAGGAAATGGTCCCGTGATTTTATTGCCCAGTGAGTTTAATCTCATGATCCTTTCTTGAGTCTCTGCTGTGTATTAGAACCACTGTTTAGAGACTAGGATAAAGAAAACGATATCTCCTCCATTTACTAATTAATGGAGGGTATAAACACATAATACAATCAAGTACAATATAAGGCAGCGTGTAGTGGGATGTAGAGGCGTTAAAAAAAAAAAGACTGTGGAAGCACAGAGGAGGAAGCCACTGACATGGAGTTTTCTGGTAGAAATCAGTTCCTGTACTTCATATAGGAAGTAATATTTGACTGGGCCTTGAAAATGAGTGATATTTTAAAGATGGAAAGGAAAGGAAAAGGCATGACACAGAGAGGAAATAGCATAGGGAAGGCCTGTAAACACAGGATGTGAATAGTCTAGTGATGCTAGTGTGGCCAGGGATAAACTGGGAAGACTGGATGGAGCTGGGTCGTGAAGGGCCTTAAATGATAGTGCTGAGATGTGAAGACTTCTGTAAGTAGAAGGGAGCCAGCCCATGTTTTTGAGCAAGGAGGTAACAGGCTCTGGTTTGCGTAATTGTGCTATGAATGCATGGCTTAGGGGGAGATGAAATAGACAGGAAGTAAGCAGTAGCATCAGTCTAAGCTAGCGATGCTAAGAGTATGAACTACAATGGTAGAAATGGAAATAGAACAGAGGAGGTGGATTCAAGACACACGGAGTTGAAGCAGTGAGCATTGTATTAGCAGCTGGAACTGGGAAATGGGAGGGAGAAAGGATTTAAAGATGACTCCAATGTTTCTAGTAACACAGGTGGTAATGTCACTAATGAGGATAGGAGCACTGAAAGCGCAGGTATGACTTTGGAAGGTTGAGACTTTCTTCCCAAGCAAGTATTGGGAATTCATGCCAGGAACTTAAGAGTGGTACCAGGGCCAGACATACAAATTCGGGGAATTATCCCCAAACAAATGCTAGTGGAAGTGATGAGATCAAAAGGGTTAGCCCTGAGAAAACATCCCGCAAGGAGAGGCAGTTAAAATCAGCAAAGCCTGCTGGAAAACACCTTCTGTAGAAGGTAGAAAGAAGGAAAGCGAATAGCAAAAGGAGAGTTGTCAACAAGGATAAAACTAGAAAAGAGAGGGAAGAATTTAGAGAGTAGGTGGGTGCTTAGCATTTTCAGATGCTGTGATTGCAGGGAGCATGGTGTGCCTGGGCGTGAGGGATTTCTAGCCTGTCACGTGGGCATGCATACATAAATAATAGCATTTCTACACCAAAGACTCAGTCCTTTGGCTGGCCATCCTTGCTCATTGTGTTAGTGTGTCTCCCAAAGACTCGTCCCTTCTACCTCCCATCTAATGCCTCTTACAGCAGTAGGAGGGAGAGAGAAGGAGGAAGGGAAATTGAAGCACAAGGGGAGTTAAAATTAAAATGTAAGCATTCTTGCTTACATTTTAATTTTAAGTAAGTCATATATTCTTCCTTTTGAATAAACTACCTTAATTATAATAATATCACTTTGTCTAATTTTTAAATTGTCATAGATGTGTTTGTCATAAGAAGTAAAAATAACATAACAATTTTGGGTGTGAATTAGTTGAGTAGGCTTACATGTGTTTTCTGATTCTGATGTGGTCTTATCATCCAGTTTCATTTGCATTCTTAAAGGAACAAGTACCACTCGCCTTTTTCTGCCTAGGTTTCCGAAGGGAGCTGCACCATTTCTGCTGACATGACCTGATCATGTTTATCTTCGTATTTCAGCTCATCTGTATCTCTGTTTCACTGTTACTTTTTAAGTGTCTGGCTATGTGGTTTCTAAGTGTTCTCTTTTTGCATTCAGTATTCACACTTAATGATTTGGAATCTTTAGTGACTAGAGACTAGTGTTTGCCCAGTTACAATAATATTAATTAAGTCAATTTGCCTTTCTAGATTTTGGTTTCAGTAACCTCTTCACTCCTGGGCAGCTGCTGAAGACATGGTGTGGCAGCCCTCCCTATGCTGCACCTGAACTATTTGAAGGAAAAGAGTATGATGGGCCCAAAGTGGACATCTGGGTAAGTAACTGCCTTCTCTTATACCCCACGGCATTAGCTACCCTTGTTGATGACAGCTGTTCTCATCCTGGAGGGTACATTGAGATCCTGGTCACCTGTTCTTTCAAGTCCCAATTCCTTGTGCAAAGTCTATTTTTTTTTTTTTTTTGAAACATAGTCTCATTCTGTTACCTAGGCTGGAGTGTATCAGTGCAATCTTGGCTCACTGCAACCTCCACCTCCCAGGTTCAAGTGATTCTCCTGCCTCAGCCTCCCAGCTAGCTGGGATTACAGACACATGCTATGACGCCCAGCTAAATTTTGTATTTTTAGTAGAGACAGGGTTTCACCATGTTGGCCAGTTGGTCTCAAACTCCTGACCTCAGGTGATCTTCCCGCTTTGATCTCCCAAAGTGTTGGGACTGTAGGTGTAAGCCACCATGCCCTGCCTGCTTGTGTAGTCTTTCCTCCAATACTTACCATATGGACTGAGCCACAGATTTCAAATTTCCCCTTGACATCTGCAAAAGAACCTCAAGGGCCAGCTTGGATGGGGGCCCTTGCCAAGAACAGAGATTCTTTCTCCTGTGGCTACTTACCTTATCTCCAGAGAATGAGTACTGAGAAAAATTCAGGATGTTACCACCCTAAAGTAATGCCTAGAAGCAAAGAAGATTGTTAACTATTCTAAGATGGAAGAAAAAGTTCGTTCCATAACCTTACGCATGACTCACCATATCTGCGTACACATACTACAGTGGTTGTATTTGTTTCCTCTGATGGGATTAACTGCATCCTCTCTGTTTGGGATGCAGAGCCTTGGAGTTGTCCTCTATGTGCTCGTGTGCGGTGCCCTGCCGTTTGATGGGAGCACACTGCAGAATCTGCGGGCCCGTGTGCTGAGTGGAAAGTTCCGCATCCCATTTTTTATGTCCACAGGTAAGAGAGTCGCTAGCACACAGCTATGAATGGGTTCATGAAAGTTAGACCAACTGAGTTATCGCAGAATTTAGTGACGGAGTGTAAAGAGCCCACTTATAACCTTCTTTAACGCCAGCTTGCTGACCTGATGCCTCCAGGAGGCAAGGTTCTGTGGAAACAGAGCACAGTACACAGGTTCTGGCATCAGATAGCCCTACCTGGGTTTGAATCTGGGCCCTAAGTCTGTCTGAGCTTTAGTTTCCTCATCTATAAATTGGCTGAGAGTTTTGTGAGGGCTGCTAGTACCTAAGGATTAAATGAGATAATGTATGTAAAGACTCAGTAGGGCCATGGCATAGCAGTAACGAAATAAATTTTTTTGTTTCACTTCTGTCTTCCCCCTACCCTTTTTCAGGACGTTTCCCCTTATCGGGTTCTCATTGCAGTGTGGTTTTAAGTGCTGAGGAGAAAGGAGGCTTTGCATCTTAGTCTTGCTACCGCTTTATTTCCTATGTCTGTGCTCTTTGTCCTCCAGAATCAAATTTTTAAAAATTTCTTTAATAAGTGGGTAATAAGGTAACTAAGTCTTGGAAAAATTTAACATTGAAAATAGATACTAGATACCCAGAATTAGCAATATTTTATCAACATTTATTTGCATATAAGAAGGGAACATTTTAGAGACAATGCAGAAAGTCACATAGTTTTGCTTAATCATCTGTTTTCATTTTAAGGAAGAACATGTGTTCACTGGGTTAACAACCAAGTGGGAGCCCATGGAAATTGCATTTTAGGATAAAGAGGTGAACCTTGGAGTAGATTTAACTTGTCTCCTTCGAACTGATGACTTCATAGTATATAAGATAATGCTAAATCCTGTGAGAAAAATACGGTAGAGAAGGAGTTAGGATAGTGGGTGGTACGTTACATGAAAACCCCTTCATGGAGAAAGTGACCTTTCAGCAAAGGCTGAAACAAGGTGAAGGTGAACACTGTGCTGTCCGGGGAGGGGGGGGGGAAGAGCACCCCCCCTGCTGTTGAGGGGTCAGCGGGGAGGGAGCGTGGCTGAGTGAAGGAACAGGAAGGAGCCCTGCGTGTCTGGAAGGAAGGAACGATGAGAGATGAGGTCAGAGAGGTAAGAGGGAACTTAATTTTGGGGCCTAGCTAGTGTAAGACTTTAGATTTTACTCTGACTGAAGTGTACAGGATCGAAGGGTTTTGACGGGAGTGATATAATCTGACTTTTGTTTTTTCTAAATCTTATTATGAAAAATTTCAAACATACTAACAAGTTGAAAAAATTATGCAGTGACTTTTGTTTAAAAAAGATCACTTTGGCTGCTATGTTGCCAGTAGGTTGCAAGGAACAAGGGCTGAAGGAAGGAGACCACTTAGGTCTGGACTTTTACAACAGTCCGGAAGAGAGATGTTGGCAGCTGATTCTCAGTCTGGGGTGTCGAGGTAGAGATGGTAAGAAGTGATCGGATTCGAGAGATGCTACATACTGTGTGGCAGGCACTGTTCAAAGCGCTTCACAACATTAACTCAATTATTTTAACAACCCTATGAGATACATAAGATTATTGTCTTATTTTACTGGGGATAAAACCAGAAGCCAGAGATTAGGCAGTTTTCCCAAGATAACACAGCTACCAGGTGGCTGAAGCAGAATTTGAACCCAGGCAGTTTGGCTCCAGTAACATTTAGTGTTGGATTTGATATGAAAGAAAGACTCCAGAGTTTCTGCCCTGAGCAACCGGAAAGATGGACTTACTGCTAACTGAGCTGGGGATGACTGGGGAAGGATACTTACATGTCAGAGACATCTTTCAGACATGTCAAGTTTGAGGTGCACATTAGACATCAGCGTTGCATTTAGGAGAGAGTTCTGGGTTAGGGATGTGTATTTGGAATCCTCCGTGTATACAGATCGGAGTTAAACCCATGAGGTGAGCGCTCTTTCTAGACAGTGGTTACAGAGAAGAGAAAAGTCCACAGATTAAACTCTGGAACATACCAATATTTAGAGATGAGGCGGGTGAGGAGGGATCGTAAGAGTGGCTGGTGGGGTGAGCCAAAGACCTGCTATGCTAGCAGACAAGTGAAGAAACTGTTCCTGGGAGGAGGGAGGAGGGAGTGAGGAGCTGCCAAGTCAGGTAAGAGGACTGAGAACTGAATGCTGCATTTAGAAACGTGGAGATCATTAATGATTTTGTTTCTTTTTTATTCCCTCCCTCGCTCGCCTTCCGAGATCATTAATGATTCTGAAGTACACTTTTGGCAGAGGGACAGGAGCAAAGCCTAAATCATGTGGCTGCAACAGAAAAGGAATAGAAGGAAAACAGACAAAGGAAGTAGACACACTCTTTCCAGCTTACTATAAAAGGAAGCAGAGAAGTGGTTCAGTATTGCCCTGGCCAGAGTCACCAGTGATCTCATTATTGATCAACCCCCTATCCTTAGTCTTGTTCTTAATCACTGCCCAGCGGTGGTTAACTCTTCTCCCTCCCTCCCTCCCTCCTCTTCCTTCCCTTCCTTTCTCCCCTCCCTCCCTCCCTCTCTCCCTCCCTCCCTCCTCTTCCTCCCCTTCCTTTCTCCCCTCCCTCCCTCTCTCCTCTTCCTCTCCTTCCTTCCCCCCCTTTCTCCTCTTCCTCCCCTTCCTTTCTCCCCTCCCTCCCTCCCTCCCTCCTTCCTCTTCCTCTCCTTCCTTTCTCCCCTCCCTCCCTTCCTCCCTCCCTCCCTCCCTTGGTCTTGCCCTGTTGCCCAGGTTAGAGTGCAGTGGTACCATCATGGTTCACTGCAGCTTGACCTCCCAGGCTCAAGTGATCCTCCCTTGGCTCCCTAGTAGCTGGAGCTACAGGCATGTACCACTATGCCTAATTTTTGTTATTTATTTATTTATTTATTTATTTATTTATTTATTTATTTATTTATTTTTGATAGAGATGGGGTTGTCCAGGCTGGTCTTAAACTCCTGAGCTCAATCAATCTTCCTTCTTGGCCTCCCAAAGTGCTGGGACTGCTAGTGTAAGCTACCACACCCTGCCTCTTTAGGGTTACATTTTAGAGTAGTTTTAGATTTACAGCAAATTTGAGTGAAAGGTACACAGTTTCCGTGTGCCCTCTGTGCTGTCCTACCCACCTCCCCTCCCGGCCCCTGTCACCATCAATGTTCCCCATCAGAGTGATACATTTGTTACAATCAATGAACATGCACTGACACATTATCACCCCAAGTCCGTCGCTTACATTAGGGTTTTCTCTCAGTGTTATACATTTTTTGGGTTTTGACAAATGTAGAGTGACATGTATTCACTATTATAATGTCGTATGGAATTGTTTCACTGCTCCCGAAATCGTCTGTTTATCCATTTTTCCTAAGCCCCTGCAGCCACGGATCCTTTCACTGTCTCCACAAGTTTTTCCTTTTCCAGAATGTCATGTGGCTGAAAACATACAGCATGTAGCTTTTTCAGGTTGGTGTTTTTCAAATAGTGATATGCAGTAAGATTCCTCCGTGTTTCTTCATGACTTGAGAGCCCATTTCTTTTTAGTGCTGAATAATATTTCATTGCCTGGATGTACCACACTTTATCCTTTCACCTACTGATGACATCTTGGTTGCTTCTATGTTTTGACCGTTGTAAATAAAGCTGCTATAACATCCTCGTGCAGGGTTTTGTGTGGACATAAATTTTTAACTCATTTGGGTAAATACCAAGGAGCGCGATTTCTGGGTCGTATGGTAAGAGCAAGGATAGTTTTGTAAGAAAACTCTCTTCCAAAGTGGCTGTGCTATTTTGTGTTCCTGCCAGCAATGAATGGAGCCTCTGTTGTGCCACATCCTTGTCAGCATTTGGTGGTGTCAGCATTTTGGATTTTTGCCACTCTAATAGGCGTGTAGTGGTGTTTCATTGTTGTTTGAATTTCCATAACGTATGATGATGAGCATCTTTTCATATGCTTACTTGCCATCTATATATCTTTCTTGAGGTGTCTCTTCAGGTCTTTTGGTCATTTTAAAATCAGGTTGTTTATTTTCTTATTGTTGAGTCACTCATTACATTTTAAAACACTTTTTCTCATTGCTTCTGAGACGCCACATTCTCCAGTTTTCCTCCTGTCCTCTGGGAGCCCCTTCAGTCTTCTCTACCAGACTCATTTTTCTCTGTTCATCCTTCAGATCATTTTATCTTTACATCTTTCTGGAGCCAATAGCTTCATTGATCACTGTGATGATCAGTCCTCAGTTAACTTTTTGGCCTGGACCTCTCCTCTTGGATCTAGGACTGCATATCCAAGTATTTGCTAACCATTGGCTTCACGTCAGATCAGCGGAAACATCTTCAGAAATGAACTTAACTCCGCCTCCCTAGATGTGCTCTATTCTGTATTCATTGCTTTAGTGAATAGCATTACCATCTGACCAAGGCCAGCACAAGCCTTGATGCTTTCTCTGTCATCATTGCCACAGCTCATCAGTTACCAAATCCTGTCAATTCAACCCTCCATTCCTATAGCCACTTCCAATACCATGCTAATCATCTTCTCTTGCCTCAATTAAACAATAGTCAATTATATGGATTCCTGGCTCCAGTCTTGTCCCCCTCTAATCTTTTCTCAACTTTTCTGCATGAGTAATCTTTCCAAAACACAAATGTAAAAATAAATACAACATACCAGACACACATACACACTCTCTTACTCTCTCTGTCTCTCTTACATAAACACACAAATCTGATTTTACCATTTTCTAGCCTGAAACCTTTTTTACCATTGCCTCTAAGGTAAAGTTTACTCCATAAGGTGGCAAGTATTGGCTTACAGACATGTTTGGCTATGATAAGAAAAAAATATATTTTATAATGTGACCCAGAACACACATATATGGATACAAATGAACAAAAGATTTGTTTGCTTGATTTTAGAGATGGGGTCTTGCTATTTTGCCCAGGCTGGACTTGAACTCCTGGGCTTAAGTGACCCTTCTGCCTCAGTCTCCCAAGTAGCTGGGACTAGAGGCATATACTACCATGGCTGACAACAAAAGATTTTTTTTTTTAAGAGGCGGAACCACTGTCATCCAGGCTGGAGTACACTGATGTGATCATTGCTTGCTGCAGCCTCCAGTTCCTGGACTCAGGCAGTCCTCCCACCTCAGCCTCCCAACTGGCTGGGACCATAGGCAAACACCATCATGCCTAGCTAATTTAAAAATATTTTTTATAGAGATGGAGTCTCACTCTGATGACCAAGCTGATCTTGAACTCCTAGCCTTAAGTGATCCTCCTGTCTTGACCTCCCAAAGCCACCTTGACCTCCATGAGCCACAGCACCCAGCCAACAAACAATTTGTTTTTTAAAAAAGTGAAACTTACCCTTACTGTGTACCGTGCATTCCAAAATATTTTATTCTATTCCATTTAAAAAAACACTGATTTCAACTTAATAACTTGATCTCCTGTCTGCTATTTCATAAACAATGACATAGAAATACCTTTAAAGCCCAACTCCTGCCTATCTCTTCAGCCATAGCTTCCCTTCTCCCACCAGTCCCCCTGGTTTTCTTCTAGTTCCCTGCTGTTTTCTGGAGCATTTCCCACTGCCGAGAATACATCTTCCTTATCCCACCCCACTCCACCCACTCCTGTATTTTAGAATTTAGAATTAAAAAATTAGATAGGATAGAAATAAGAATCTAGATAATTTCTATTCACTCTTCTTGTCTCTGAACTTTCTCTTATCATGTCACTTACCAAGCTTTATGTTGCAATTACTTCTTTCATTGTATGTCTTCCACGCCAGACTGAAGTTAGTGAAAGCACAGACGAAAGATGTCTTTTTCACAACAGTCTGTAAGCTAGCATAGGATCTGGTGTGTAGTAGGACTTAGTAAATATTAAATCTGAAAACCTCCCCAGCCCCAGTGGCTTTCATTTACATCTAGAATAAAATTCAAGTTGTTATTATTATTATGGCCTACAAGGCACAGCTGTCGTTGCCCCTTCCTTGATCTCATTTCCTGTTACTGTTTACCTCCACTTCTGAGCTCCCATTTTCACAGGGCCTTCCTTGCTGTTTCTCAGACTTGCCAAGCACATACATTCTGGTTCCCTTGTGTAGTCACAGGTCCCCTCAGAGGGGCCTGTTCTGGCTCCCCCCTCATTCTGTTTCTGTAATTCTGCTTTTTCTTCATGGCACTTAGCACTACCTCACATGACTTTGGTACCTCCTCATCTCCCATCACCACTTGACCATAATAAGCGTTTGGTTTTTGTTTACTGCTGTGTTCCCAGGGCTTTGGACAGTGCCTGGGTTCTAGTAGGCACTCAGTAAATATTTGTTGAATGGATGAATGAATGCATAGGGTTGTTAAAATGCTGACTCCAGAATCCCCTCTAGAGAGTATAGTCTTATCCAAATCATAATATCAGTAGTAATATCAAAAAATTACATTTGTTTAGGGCTTTTGAGATTATAAAATAATTTCTTTTTTTAATTTTTTTTTTTTCTGAGACAGGATCTCACTCTGTTGCCCAGGCTGGAGTGCAGTGGCAAGATCATGGCTCACTGCAACCTCCGCCTCCCAGGCTCTAGCCATCCTCCCATCTCAGCCTCCTGAGTAGCTTGGACTACAGGCACATGCCACCATGCCCAGCTAATTTTTGTAGAGACAGGGTCTTGTTATGTTGCCCAGGCTGGTCTTGAACTCCTGGACTCAAGTAGTCCACCCACCTTGGCCTCCCAAAGTTCTGGTATTACAGGTGGGAACCACTACACCCAGCCAGTATATCTTTTTTTAAAATATTTCAATTTTTATATTGTTAGCAACAAGGTCTTGTTCTGTCACCTATGCTGGAGCCTAGTGGTGTGACCATAGCTCACTGCAGCCTCAAACTCCTGGGTTCAAACAGTCCTCCTACTTCAGGCTCCCAAGTAGCTAGGACTACAGGCCTATGCCACTGTGCCAAGCTAATTTTTAAAAAGATTTTTCAGAGAGATGAGTCTCACTACATTGCCCAGTCTGATCTTGAACTCTTGGTCTCAAGCAATCCTCCCACCTTGGCTCTCAAAGTGCTGGGATTACGGGCAGAAGCCAGCATATGCAGCCTAAATTATTTTCTTTTCCTTAATCTAATTTGAGCTACATCTTAGAATTGGTAATAGTACATATCTTTTCATCTTGCTGATGAAGTTTTGGAAGCTGAAGTTTAGAGAAATTAATTTGCCAAAGCCACACTGGTAATAAGTAATTCAGTCAGTATTCAAATTCACTGTTTGTTCTACTGCACCATACTGTCACAAAAAGAGCAAGATAAACAAACCACTTCCTTTACTTTTCCAATGTCCACAGTGTTTCCTGTGAGCAACTTGGATCTCTTCTACCCTCCACCCCCGCCACCTCACACCAAGGCAAGAGATTCTTACTGAACCCTTCCCAGAGCTGACTTCAGATAGGGGGTCCTGGAAAGCAGCTAAGCATGCTGTTAGCCACATTGTCTGTTAGTGCTTGGAAATAAACTGCAGTCTAACTGCTTAGAACTCACATTTGTAATATGATGTAAGTTAACCTGAAAGCTTCAAGACTCAGAGAAAGCCAACAGGATTATCCCAAACCTAGTCACTCTTTAATCCCAGTTCAGTAATTCCCTGAGTAGAAGTGTTTGTTAGATTAGTACAGAAAATGAGAAACAGCCAGGGTAGGAAATGAGTGGATAATTGCTATATTACCAACATGATCTCTCTGGCCCTTGGTAACATGCATGTGCTTGGCATTGCCGAATGTCATAGGCCTAAATCCCACGACCTTTCAGAGAATACTTCGAAAGGACAAGGCATAGCAGAAAATACATTCATCGGTTGTTTTGGCTTGGCTTGCTGACAACCTTCAAGAAGTGTCAAGTTCATGTGAAGGAAGTTTAGAGTCTGTCCTGGAGTCCTTTTTCTGCTGTACCTCCTGTTTCTGGGCACAGCTGTATCTCAGTAGACCTGGAGCATAGTCTTCTGATGGAGGCAAGTGCCAGCTGCTTTTCAGCCTGTCAGGCCAACTGCTATTGCTGTGTTACAGGAGATAGTGTGGTTGAGGGGAAGTCCTTAAGCACAAGATCCTTCCTTTTCTCAGCTGTTGTCATAGGCTTGAGCTGAGTTTATCTGTTTTTCTTCCTGAAGGATCTAGAAACTCCAGCAGAGCTGGTATAGTGGAAGACAAGCAGGCAAGAGCCCTACCATTTAGCTGCTTCTAGCCAACTTGAATTCCAGAGTAGCTACATACAGCTGTGTGGGAGGCCATGCTCTGCAAACAGATATAGTCAGCTCAAGAATTCTAAGCTGCTCTCTATTGTCAGTAATGTGTGGAATGAATTTTCCTCACAATTAGTGGATATTTCTATGCCTGGTCTGGTTTGTTTGATACAAGTTTCCTTTCATAGGCATCCTGAGACATAACAAAGACATATATTTTCAAGTTGGAATGACAGTGATATACATTTAAAAGAGGATTAATTTGAGGATGTATTTGAGGCTTGATTGATTTTATACCACCTGGTTTTTATAATTATGTATATATGTCTTCTTCCTCCTTTCCCCACTAGAATGTAAGCCTCTTGAACTGTGTTTTCCACATCAGTATCTTCCATAAAACCTAACAGCCCCTGGTAGGGCATAAACACTCACATTCAGTAAGTGTTTTGTAATAAAAAACTAACTCAGTACTACTTAACTATGGAATCTTATATCAGACTCTTGTATTTTTTTTTTAATAGATTATTTTTTGCCCAGGCTGGAGTGTAGCGGGGCAGTCTCAGCTCACTGCAACTTCTGTCTCCGGGGCTCTTGCCTCAGCCTCCCGAATAGCTGGGACTACAGGTACATGCCACCACACCTGGCATGAGCCACCACACCCTGCTCAGACTCTTGTACTATATTGTTAACATGATCTAAATTACTCATCACACCACTTGGTTTTATATGCTTTTTTTTTTTTTTTAAAATGTAGAGATAGAGTTTCATTATGTTTCCCAGGCTGGTCTTGAACTCCTTGGTTCAAGCAATCTGCCTGCCTTAGTCTCCCAAAATGCTTGGGATCATAGGCGTGAGCCACCATGCCCAGCCATGGTTTTATGTACTTTTGTTATATGGGTTATTATGAAGGTGACCAAGGCAAATGACTTTTAGGTGTAAAAAGGTGTTTTGATCTATTACAGAGTTTGTTTTCTATGCCTCAAGTAAAATAAGTTTGATCCAGGCCCGTGTTTTTGGATTAAACTTCACATAGCATCCCAAAGATCAGTTTGATAAAACCCTGAGTCTAAATTATAGAAGGATTAAAAATTGAAACTTGCTGTTTTCTTGATCTGTTGTGGAAGGTGAAACCTGACCTGGCTTCATGTGTTGGCAGATGTTTCCCCTGACCGCCACTCCCACCTATGGATGCCAGTAACTTAAATTTTTTGAGCACCAGACTCATTCAATGTATCTTTTTTTTAACCATCAGAAACATACTTACAGCCTAGTTTACCAGATTCTCCTGTGTACCACCTGCTACAGACATACTAAGATGGTTTATTTAACTGAAGGAAAATTAATTGACAGTGAACAAACTGCAGTGTTGGTGAGTGGATAGAGATCTCCTGTGGACAATATTTTTTAGTCTTTATTGATTAGACTTCATTGTGACTTAATTAATTGTAATACTGCATGAGCATTTTATCACTGGGAATGCAAGACCCAGGCTTACATAATGCTTCTGATGGAGAATGTACCCTGCAGCTACTGCCAAAAAGCTTCTACTTAGAGGCAAACAACTCTGCCCTGACTGGCTTACTCATCAAGAACCACACAGCATCTTGCTTGGCTAAAAGCACTTTGTTTAGAATGAATGGGGCAAGGGATTACATGGGCTCACCACCTACCAATCGCCATATATTGAGGAGCTGAGAGTCCTCAAAGCAGTTTTCTCCTACCTTTTGAGACATACTACACCACCAGAGAGAAAAATCTATGTAGTGCTTTCATGCCAGTGAATGTAGAAATCACAACCGATGTCAGAAAAGAGGTTAGAACTTCTTCAGAGAGAAACAGGCCAGCCGTGTTCATTTCCATGATTTGACCTAACATAACTAAAAACCAGTAGATAAACATTGGTACTGCCCTATTTATTATTAGCCTTTTTCAACCCAACTATCTCCTGGCTTATGGCAATCCTAAGTAGAAAAATAAAAGGAGGACATTCCAAGCGGAAGGACTCCAGAGATTTGGATAATAGCATTTATTGACCACTTTCTACATACCAGGCACTGTTGTATGACCTATTTCATGTTCAAAACAACTGTCTGAGGTGAGCTGTTTTGTGAGGTAGACTGTATAAGAGATTATTTGATAAATAAGAAAACTGAGGCATGGGTGAGGTTAAATAACATGCCCAAGACACACATCTAGTAAGTTGCAAAGCTGAGATTTGAACCCTGGCAGTCTGACTTCAGAGACCATCTAACCATATGTGTTTGTATTTTCATTCCCAGTAACATATTTGGTAAGTTACCCCAAGGATCAAGAGAGTCCTGGAATGGATATATTTGTCTGCATCTGGATTACTTACTGAAAAACGAGTAGCAGGAACTCTGTACTGGACCCGGAGGCAGGAGTTTCTTACACCATAGTGGCTGACACTAGAACTCAAAAGATACTTGAATGTGAACCACAAAATGGACAGCTTCTGTAAAGCGGTATAGCAAGCCAGGGCTTTTTCAAGGTTGGACTAGAGCTAAATGTTGGCATCCGTACCCTTTAGGCCAGGATTTTCTATTTCTGAATTTTAATTCTGGCAGCATCATGCCCACCTAGAAAAACTGATTGAAAGTAAGGAAGTTCAAGTGTTATTTTTCTAATAAATGAATATATACGGTCAAAACTTTTTCTTCGTGGTCTGTCTTGGGTTGATAAACTTGTTAAAACTGAAGAAAAAAGCCTCTCAGCCCAGATGTACTGGTTCCAAATAGAAATTTTTCTTATGGGCTCCGTGTCCATTTGCTAAATTGTTCCAAGCCATCTCCCTATGGCCTCTATGTTCAGTCACTGGAAGTGTCTCACAGAATTTAGAGATGAAAAGAATTATTTCTATTCCAGCATATTCTGATTATAATAATTTGCAGAAACCACTAGGGTTGGAATTTATAGTTAAATGGATAATTCTCCACTTTCTTTTCTGATCTCTTACTGTTGGAATATTGTTTTTGAAATTTTACTGACGTGTGGGACTTCCATTTTTCTTCCCCACAACAACAGAAAGTCAATGACTCAGAACATGACAGTTTTTTCTTAGTGCCATTGTGTCAAGAGAAGCTCATCTCGGTGCTTATGTTTTATGAGTCAGATCTTACTACAGTCAATACGGTCATATATTAAGTTCCAAGGTTGTGCATTTTCTTTGTTTATGTAAAACTGTGGCATTGACTGCATCCTTTTTGGGTATGGTGGCATGCACCTGTAATCCCAACAGATTGCTTGAGGCCAGGAGATCAAGGCAGCCAGCCTGGGCAACATAGTGAGACCCTGTCTCTAAAAAATAAAAATAAAAAATAGCTAGATGTGGTGGTGCATGTCTGTAGTTCCAGCTACTGAGAAGCTGAGGCAGGAGGATCACTTGAGCCCAGGAGTTCGAGGCTGCAGTGAACTATGGTTGTACCACTGCACCCAGCCTGGCCAACAGAACGAGACTCCATCTCAAAATAATTTAAAAATAAATAACCAGTTCTTTAACTTGGTATTTAGAGATGTTTATTTCTATTATAGCAGTAATGTGTCAAAATTTAATGTATAGAATAAAAGCATTCCAATCCTTACAACACCATTGTTCTAGCAATATCCAAAATAACAAAATTTTAGTGCAACAACAAACCCCCTGCATTTTGTATTATTATAGTTAACATTTATACAATCTCTGAATGTATCTATAGGTTAGCGCATTTAGTATATGTTATTTATACATAGAAATGTCACCTTTTTCTTTTTTCAGACAGAGTCTCGCTCTGTCGTCCAGGCTGGAGTGCAATGGCATGATCTTGGCTCACTACAACCTCCACCTCCCAGTGTCAAGTGATTCTCCTGCCTCAGCCTCTTGAGTAGCTGGGATTACACACATACATACCACCATGCCTGGCTAATTTTTGTATTTTTAGTAGAGATTGCGTTTCACCATGTTGGCCAGGCTTGTCTTGAACTCCTGGCCTCAAGTGATCTTCCTGCCTTGGCCTCTCAAAGTGCTGGGATTACAGGCATGAGCCACCGTGCCAGGCCCAAATGTCTTATTTTGAGGACTATTTGTCTTTTTGTTTAGATTTTAAAATAGTGATTATATAAAATCAGTAAGTTTGACCTTAGCTAGAAGTTGACATTTTTGACAAGATTTCTCGAGCATATTAATAAAACATCATTTTTAGGGCTTAGTTCACAAGCAGAGTGAAGATTCCTAACTCTAGCCGGCTTCTAATCAAAAGAAGGTATCTTGGCAAAAAAACACCCCTGGTTTCTTATTGATTTACTTTTTACTTATTTCTGCAAGGAATATAGCATTGCAAAATAGTCACACTGTTCCGTCCGTGTTATAATGAGATCAGGACATTATAACAGACTTTATTTTCTTTTCATGAGGAAAAACAGCATGTTTTGTGTGCAGTTTTTCTTTTAGGAAAAGGCAGGCAGCATTAAAGAGGCACTCTGAGTCACAAACATTTGTTAAATCCAGAACATCTAAAATATGGGGATAGCCTCTTCTCAGAGCATGTGGCTCCACCCTGAGATTGCCGTTGCAGCCATCCCTTGGTCTTATTCTGTTTGCTCTAATAGCATCACTTCTCCCCCAGGCTGGTACCTGAGCTGGACAGAGTGAGTGGGTAACAGCATCAGGCAGTGTATCGCATAGTATCCTTGTTCTAAAAACTTTAAGACTTTATGTCATTGGCCGGGTGCTGTGGCTCGCGCCTGTAATCCCAGCACTTTGGGAGGCTGAGGCGGGCGGATCATGAGGTCAAGAGATCGAGACCATCTTGGCCAACATGGTGACACCCTGTCTCTACTAAAAATGCAGAAAATTAGCTGGGCATGGTGGCGCGTGCCTGCATCCCAGCTACTCGAGAGGCTGAGGGAGGAGGATTGCTTGAGGCAGAGGTTGCAATGAGCCAAGATCAAGCCACTGCACTCCAGCTGGGCGACAGAACAAGAATCCGTCTCAAAAAACAAAAACAAAACAAACAAAAAAGACTTTAATGTCATTTAACTTTTAAAAGGTTTTTGTCAAATAATTTTCCATAGAAACATGTTTCAGAGATTTAATAGCCGGTTTATTTTTGTTCCCTTTTTAGAGTTTGAGATTTAGAAAAAATAGAACCCTCTTTGAAGTCAGAATTGCACTACAAGCAATTCATTACTAAGAAGTAAAGATTATTGAGAAGTTTGTTCAAATTGTTGAAAATGTAGAACTCTTGGGCTAAGTGCTTTGAAATTACCTTTGAACACACCCACCACTGACTGGACCAAGTACATGAGAAACTAGACCATCCCCTTCTTGGGAGCACCTGTAAGAAGCATGCACTTTCTTCCTTACAAGAATGCCTTCCCATGCCTTCTGGCTCACAGATGTCTTCTGTTTCTACCAGTTCAAAGCAGCTTTATGTGGCCAGAAAGAATCCATGACTCAGTTTCTTCTATGCCATTACTCACCACAGAGCTGGAAAGGATTGTTTTGCTGTGTTCTGTTCTTTGGTGTCACATGCAGGGTGTCAGGGACAGTTGGCTTTCCCTCCTTCACAGGATCAGCCTGAAGAGTCTGATGATCTGGTTCCCCAAATTTTTACCTATCTCTTCTTATCTTTGATCTTTGAAGCCTGTTGTTTCGAGCCTTCTATCATAGTCTTCATCACCTTGTGTTTTTACAGAGTATACAAATAAGTTTGCTCTGCCACAGTGTATTTAATCCTCAGCAGCAAAATTATTAATAAGACAACGCTCCCTGCTTAGATGTTCTTCGGTCCCTGCCTCATCAATCCATCAATTTGCCATCTCCCCTTAAAGCTGTTTTCCAGCTAGTTCTTAGTCTTTGGCCATCAATTTGCCTGGCCCATTTCGTACTAACCTCACTTGTGGATGATTCTGTCATGATGGAACCTGTGATGACATGGCATTTGATGTGTCAGGGAGAGAATTGTTTTGGTTTGTTTTCATAGCCTAGAATACCAATAATGTGTTTACTTTAGGGACCATATAGGTTAAGAACTCCTTGGAGTAAAACTGACCAGAATTTGTATCCTGCTTTGGCCCCTTATTATCTGGTCAAATTTCTCAACTTCTCTATTTTAAATTTCTTTATCTATAAAATTGAGATAATAGTAACAGGGGTGGTGTGAGATGCAGATGCTTAAATTGACTTAAAGGGTTTAGCACTTTGCCTATAAATGCTCAATAAATTTTAGTAATTATTAAATAATAATGTTGAATGAATTGCTGTATTAATCTTACTCTTTTCTATGTATCTTTCTCTCATTTTTGCCCTCTCAATATGCCAAAGGGACATTAATACTTTCAGTCAAATCCACAGGGCTCATGGAAAAGACTTATCTGCCAAGACTTGTTTTGGTTTGTTGTAACCACTTAGAGAAATTTATTATCGAGGGCAAAAAAAGAAAAAAAAATGTTGCCTTCTCAGATATGGACTCACTCTGGCAATCTCAACTTAAAGGTCTTCCTATTTTAGAACGCTGCCCATCCAGCAGCTCTCGCTCCACAAAGTCATCCAGATGCCTGGCAGCGCAGCGGGGCAAGGCTTGTGCTGCACATCCTCTAGTTAACATTCTCTTGGCAGATCAGGTTTCATGGGCCCACAGTGACTCTCACCGCGGAGACTGCTTGGCGTCTTGCATGGAGCAGATGAAAGCAGCTCTGAAGGGAAGCTGCTTTTCTGGCACACACAAGCAGAGCAACGTATTCCTGCATTGCCCAAAGTGGTTCAGTTTCATTTAGCATCAGAGGCTCTGCCTTTTGGGAGGGAACAAATAATGGGGCCCTTTTATTTTTTGTTTTTGAGACATAGTCTTGCTCTGTCATCTAAGCTGGTGTGGCACCATCTTGGCTCACTGCAATCTCTGCTTCCTGGGTTCAAGCAATTCTTGTACCTCAGCGTCTTAAGTAGCTGGGATTACAGGCGTGCACCACTGCACCCAGCTAATTTTTGCATTTTCAGTAGAGACAGGGTTTTGCCATGTTGGCCAGGCTTGTCTCAAATTTCTGCCTTCAAGCAATCTGCCCACCTCAGCCTCCCAAAGTGCTGGGATTGTAGACATGAGCCACCATGGCTGGCCAATAGGGCCCTTTTAGACAATAAAATAAAGTACTTCTTGGCATCTGGAAAAGTTGATGTTTTATTTGACACGAGGGCTCTATCTTTCCGCACCTGTAAATTGAATGTCCTGTTGGCGATTGTGTTCTTTTTAAAAAAAAAAAAAACAAAAAAAACAAAAACAAAGCTACTGTAAATTAAGATTGTGTTCTTAGGTTTGAGAGCATTTATTCCCTTCATTTTCACCCTGTTTTCACATTTTATGTAGAATGGTGTCTTCAAATCTCATCTGAATTTAATTTCATGAACGACGTGACACTTAGGAAATATGAGTTGATGGTGATACTCTAGCTTTCTGCATTTTCTCATCTTTTCCATCTGTGCCACATATGAAAAACGTTAGATTTCTGTTCCTTGGCACATTGGATATTATGTAGGATGGACAAGATTAAAAAGCTCTTGCTCTTGACACTGTAACCAGGAGTTCTTCATCTGGGGTCTGCAGACATCTGGGGGATTTGCAGCAAGCTTCTTAGGACACCCTTGGTTTTCAATCACCTGAAGCCAGACAGTGGTTAAGGATGATCAGATAGAGGGTTCAAGATCCTGAAATTGAACTGGATATATCTTCTGATTCGGAACTATTATGGTAGTGTTTTGTTTTGGTTTTGGTTTTGGTTGTTTGTTTGCTTTCTTTTAAAGAAATTGCCTTGACAAAAAATCTGTTCTAAAGCAAGCCTGTAACTGAAAACCGTTCAGCTTTGGTCATCTTATTTATGCACTAAAACTGCCTGTGGAAACCAAAGGAAGACAGGAGACTGCCATCTAGAGGTCTTAACAACAGCTTGGTCCCAGGCTTCTCCCTACACAAAAGTCTTCAGCAACTTCCTAAATTAAGAACACTTTTTTCCTCTTAAGTAACTGCAGACCATAAACGTGTGTCAGTGACAGTTATAATCTGTACAGGGGCTGCTGCAGTTGTGGCTGTAGCCTTACTACTCTGGAAACATAATTTTAATCAAGCTTAATATTGTAGATGACATTTACTTTATTCTGTAAGAATGTGGAAGTTTTTCAGATGTACATACATTTGAATATACTTTTAATTATAAAGCAACAACAAATTAATGCCTGATGTAAGAGATCATCTTGATATAGGAACTTTGTTGTAGTATCTTTTAAAATTAGAGGAAACTAGGCCAGGCCCCGGTGGCTCACGCCTGTAATCCCAGCACTTCGGGAGGTCGATCGAGGCAGGCGGATCACCTGAGGTCAGAAGTCTGAGATGAGCCTGACCAACATGGAGAAATCTCGTCTCTACTAAAAATACAAAATTATCCAGGCATGGTGGCGCATGCCTGTAATCCCAGCTACTCAGGAGGCTGAGCTGAGGCAGGAGAATCACTTGAACCCAAGAGGCAAAGACTGCAGTAGGCTGAGATCATGCCACTGCACTCCAATCTGGGTGACAGAAACGACTGTCAAAAGAGAAAAAGTAGCGGCCTTGTAGGCCCAGGACTTTGGATTTCATTCTGAGAGTTATGGGAAGAGGTTGGAGAAATATAGACAAAGTGGTGATATGCCCAAATACATGCTTTGGAAACATTCCTTTTGCCTCTCTATGGAAAATAGATTGTAATGGAGTGAAAATGGAAGCAGAAAGACCAGGTAGGAGACTTGCAGTGGTATAAGCCAGAGATGAAGGTGGCATGGATAAAGATGTTGAATTACTGGTTCAATGTTGAATTAATGTTGGAGAATTTGGAACCCTCAACAACTCTGTGCACTACAGGGGCAGTGGACCATTGTAATTAAGAGTACCAGGTGAAGAGTCAGGCTCTCTGGTTTGAAATCTGACTTACTAGCCATGTGACCTTGGACAAGTCTTTTTACCTTTCTGTGCCTAGCTTTTGCTATTCCTAAAATGGGAATAATGATAGTACGTTCCCTCCTAGGATTGCTGTGTAGATTAAATGAGGAAATAATAATTGTAAAATGCTCGGAAGCTGCATTAATACTGCTGTTTTGGTATCATCATCACTGCCCTCATCACAACTATTACTCCCACATCACCCTCAGTACCCACGATTTATAGATGAGAAAACTTAGAAATAGATGGTAGTTTTTGAAATCAGAATACAGGTTTCTTGATTGGGAATCCATTGTTCTTTCTACAATATAATCCATAATGTGAGCTCCCAGAGAAAAATTTTTGTTGATCTGAATATCTGTAGCTCACAGCTCAGTTTTACATACCTGTGACTGTTTAAATAACATTGAGAAAATGATAAATAAGACTAGCTGAATCCCAGGGCATGGGAAAGAAGTCACTTGTGGCTCTTTCCCCACACACCTTGTGCCATCAGAAATTCAAATTCCCTGAGTTTTGAAGAAGAGTATTGCACTCCTAAGCCAAAAGCATTAGTATGCACATGGTGGTACATTTAGGAGGATAGAGCTGAGTATTTTGAGAACCTTGTAAGATGCTGAATCTCTTTAGAGGCCATTCTATTCTTCCTTAGTTGTGTTAAGTGTGTTAATAGAAATAAATGAAATCCATGGATTATCCCCATACCTTTTCTGGTCAGACTTTTGGTGAAGGCACTAACCAGACTACCACATTCGAGTTTCTTTTTCTCCACCTCTCTCTGCCTTTGCCTAGCCCCTTCTGGTGGAGTAAGCAACAGAATAACAGAGCAAGAGACAAAATGAGAAGCAGGGATTTGGAGAGCCTCCCTGCTGACTTTGCCCCTGGTTCCTCTGCTCCCCTGGTGCCTCCGCTCACCAGAAACTGAAGGCAGGCTGTTTGTCCATTGCAGAATGTGAGCATTTGATCCGCCATATGCTGGTGTTAGACCCCAATAAGCGCCTCTCCATGGAGCAGATCTGCAAGCACAAGTGGATGAAGCTAGGGGACGCCGATCCCAACTTTGACAGGGTGAGCTGGGAACTGCTGCCACAGGGAACTCCTCTGAAGCTGCTGCAGCCTCCTTTGCATGTGATTGTAATCAGGCCATGACCTGAGAAGGCGGACACTGGGAAGAAACTATTGTGTAACGCCAAAGCAGCACATGAAGCAAGCAAGAAGGGATGGACAACCAGTTGAACTGTTGGAGAATAGTTATCTAGGTTCCCTACCATGTGCCCCCAAATTATTGTCTGTTTTTGGCTTCTGACATAGTACAGAAGCCAAAAACAGACAATAATTCTGACCGTGGGGATGTCACCTTCTTGTCTTAATGTGCTCAATTCAGTGGCTTCTGTAGCATGCTTTTATTTAAACCACTGTGAGCATCCCAGGTACTCCAGGGAGCTCAGGAGACAGCGGGATGTTACCTGTTCACAGCTGATCACTCAGGGCTGTCTTCATTAGACTTTGACTGAGGCCAGAAGCATCCCAAGCTAGAGGACATAGAACAGTTTGGTCATTATATATGCTGTGCCATATTGATGTGGTTAATTGGGGGGTTGACAGCTTCCCCCTTTTTATGTTACAGTTAATAGCTGAATGCCAACAACTGAAGGAAGAAAGACAGGTGGACCCCCTGAATGAGGATGTCCTTTTGGCCATGGAGGACATGGGACTGGACAAAGAGCGGACACTGCAGGTATCTCTGAAGGAGTGGAGAACGAAGTGGGAGGTAGCAGTTCGTCCTCTAACCTGCTTTTTCCATTTTTCTCCTTCTTGGGAACTTGGGCCTTTTTTTTCCCTCCTGTTTTTCTTCCTCTGCCCCTCCCTAGGCCTTGGAAAGAAGGAAAGAAGGTGCTTTGGCTAATGTTATTACTGAAAGGGTTCTGGTCATCAACATGCCATTTCACCAGGGTTTTGTACTTTTTTCCCTTCTCTCTTGGTAGTCATTAAGATCAGATGCCTATGATCACTATAGTGCAATCTACAGCCTGCTGTGTGATCGACATAAGAGACATAAAACCCTGCGTCTCGGAGCACTTCCTAGCATGCCCCGAGCCATGGCCTTTCAAGCACCAGTCAATATCCAGGTGGGCAATAACTCCAGTGACCTAGTTCAGGACAAGTAACACCAGGGGGGTAAAGGTTAGCTGTTGCTCACTAACCCTAAGTCAGGAGAGTTTCTTGCTCTTCCTTACCTCTGTCTCCCATTTGTCATCTCTTCTTTTGTCAAAGGCCAGTCAAAGATCTGAACCTTTTTTTGACAGAGAGGAGGGATGAGCAACAATAGTGGTGCCTTTTGTTTTTTAAAGAAATAGCAAAACATGAGGCGACGCTATCCTCTCCACAGGGTGCTTCCTTGTTGTGACTTCTAACGGCAGATGAACCAAAGCCTTTAGGACTCAGGGAAGCATAGACTTTAGCAATCAAGACTACTTGGAAAGACTCATTCTTTCTCTCTAGTGTTAAAGGTGTGCACGTATATGTATGTACTGCTTTCCAGGCGGAGCAGGCGGGTACCGCTATGAACATCAGCGTTCCCCAGGTGCAGCTGATCAACCCAGAGAACCAGATTGTGGAGGCAAGTAGCAACCTGTGGGAATTGTCAGCTGAAACCACTTTCTTTGCCATAGCCTTGCTTCCCTTCCTTCTGATTTCTAATTCGATGGTGTTTCCCTCCACCTCAGCCGGATGGGACACTGAATTTGGACAGTGATGAGGGTGAAGAGCCTTCCCCTGAAGCATTGGTGCGCTATTTGTCCATGAGGCGGCACACAGTGGGTGTGGCTGACCCACGGTGAGTATCTGGCCAGCAGCCCTGATTAACACCGGGGGCAAAGAATTGTCCCCTGACTTCCAGTGTCTACCATGGCATATTTCCTATTACATCTCATCCCCAGAGGAGCTCTAATCCAGTGGCCAAGTGGACAAATGATATGACGTAATTTATGTATGTGGACAGATAAAATTTAAATGAATAAGGATCCAAAATCCAATAACGCAACAGTTTCCCAAAGCGTTTTCCCAAATTATTCTCTCATGGTGTTTCCTGATGCCTGCACACTGGAAAAAAAAGAACTGAAGGCTAGCTTGCCCATGTTTGTTCCACAGTGAAAGACTCTCAACATTAAAATAGCCTTACCTCTTTTCTGGATATTTTCTTTGCTGAGTAGGAAGAGAAGGTTGTGGCAAGAATTCTCCTGAGAGGTCAATTCCGGGCAAAGCTGGTTTTCTTATAAATGTCTCTTTTCTCCCAGTGAATTTCCAAAAAAGACCCCCATGCCTGCTGATGTGCTTGCCTTATGTCTCTTGCTTTCAGTGTACGATCAAACAGGCAATAGGGGAGCATTCTGGCTCCACAGACTGTGTCAGCTGCAAAGGGGTGGAGCCCTGAGTCACTCTGTTAGTGGCAAGATCTCTTATTTTAAAGTATGCTATAAAACCTACCGTTGTAGCAAGATAGCTCTGTACATCTAGTACTTATCTGTCCTATCAGCACTGACAAGAGGAATTGCATTCTTTCCCTAGTGAATCAGTTGCTACTTCAGGCAGCCATTATCTTAGTGGATGACCCACGTTCTCCAGAAACTTGGTGTTCACGCCCCGGCTTTGAAAACCTGAACTGGACTGGGGCCAGTATTTCCTCTTGGCTCACAGCCCTTGGTTTGACATGATTGGCCAGTAAAGAATAGCAGTCTCTCATCCAAACAGTAAAGGAGCAGAGAGTTAAATTCCACATTTTAGGCTTTTGCTTTGCTTTAGGATCTTAGAAACCTAAATTTAGGAAGAAAATAAATAAAATACAGCAAGTTGTACTGAACATAGCAATGCCATCAATTTTGAGATGTAAGTACGTTTGAGTAAGAATGTTAACCCAATTTCTCTGTCACTCTGTTTTCTATCAGCACGGAAGTTATGGAAGATCTGCAAAAGCTCCTACCTGGCTTTCCTGGAGTCAACCCACAGGCTCCATTCCTGCAGGTGGCCCCTAACATGAACTTCATGCACAACCTGTTGCCTATGCAAAATTTACAACCAACCGGGCAACTTGAGTACAAGGTACCTAGATAAGGGAGAGGGCTGGCTCCAGAGGAAACAGACTTGAGCTTCCTTTAAGAGGCTTTGCGGGACCTTCCCTAGGACTTAAGGGTTTTCTTATAAAGAAAGATGATTTCTCTTGCAAAGCAGCTCTGGTGAGAAGGAAGCATTCTCTAATCTCCATCATGGCCTGTGGCTCCCTTAATTTCCATAGATTAGTGTCTTGCCCCTTTGTCCCCACCTGCCCCTCATCTCATGGTTCGTCCTTCCCATTCTGCTCCTGGCAGGAGCAGTCTCTCCTACAGCCGCCCACACTACAGCTGTTGAATGGAATGGGCCCCCTTGGCCGGAGAGCATCAGATGGAGGAGCCAACATCCAACTGCATGCCCAGCAGCTACTGAAGCGCCCACGGGGACCCTCTCCGCTTGTCACCATGACACCAGTGAGTAGCAGCACAGAGCCCAATTTACCGTCTAAGAGGCTTTTGATAAGGAGATTATGAGCCTAGGGTTGGGAACCCAGGGCCAACTTATATGTCCAAATTTCCTCTTTCTCCAAACTTAGGATGCCCCAGCCCATTTTCTTCAGGCCAGTAGACTTTTCCACAGTTTGTTTTTGGCAAATTTACTTAGCTGAGTTATTTCTACATTGAACTCTGCTCCTGGAGAGCTCCTTCCTCAGTGGGTGCTCACAGGTACCCTGGTTAAGTCCAGCTGCACTTCTGCCAGCTTGGGCCAGGTAGCAGCAGCCTAACTCACAGCCTTCTCCCAGGCAACCTTTCCCTGCCAGAAGGCACAAGCGCCCTCGAATTCATTCGTTTCTAGACCGGCTTCCAAAATTGCCTTCTCACCAACACTTTGTCCATTGATAAATCCCACCCCACATTCTTGGCACAACCTGGATCACTTGATGATTTGCTTCTGCAGCTCTAGCCTAGTCAGTTTTTCTCTTAGTCGCATCTCCTTCATCTGATGGTCACAATTCAGAGATTTTTCTTCTCCCCTGGGTTCTGTTTATTTCTGGTTATTTTCCTGTCATAGGTCCATTCATTTGTTCATTCAGTCTCATAGTACCGTAAGATTGGGTAGTGACTATATCCATATCCCTTGGAGATGTTTTAGGGCAGTGCCACTTTGAGGACCCTTTCCTTCCTTTAATCCATCCTTTGTAAAATATAGTGAAAGTGAACCATTAGAAAAATGAAAATTTCAAAACATAAAATACAAGGCTAAATTTTTTATTGAGTTCAGACAAAATTAGTCTGTTAAATTGCCAAAGTTTCTCTTTATTTTTTTTCTCCCACTCTCGACTCTGCCTTTTTTTTTTAAATTTAGTTTCTCTTTATTTTTTTAAATTGCTAAAAGTTTCTAAAAGGTTTTTGTTACAAATTGGTAACAAAATCGTTTGTGGGCATGGGTCCATGGGCCACACTCTCGGTAATGAAGGAATTATGTATCACAGCCCTTGGCATCACTGACAAGATCAACAGTACAAGATCATCTGTGATTACATGGAAAATTAGGTGGCAGAGGCATCCAGAGATGCACGAGACCTATTTGGAAGGACCGTGGTCAGCTTTATGGGAGGTGGGGTTACTCACTGCGGCCACTGTAACTGTTTTTGCCAGGGTCACTAACGGGTTCTTATTGATAAATCCAGGGGACATTTTATCTTTTTGGACATCCCAACTGTATTAATCACTGTTGACTTTTTTTTTTTCCTTGAAATATTTTCTGGTTTTGGTGTCTGTGGCACCACATTCCCTGTGTTTTCCCTCTGCCTCTCCTTTTCACATTTCTTTTCTGCTTGTTCCTTAAAGTTGGCAAAATCCAGAGTTTTATCCTAGGCCCTATTCTTATCTCCCTTTATGTACTTTTTCTGGGTCAGTGTGTTCACCCCGTAATTTCAGTTACCATCTGACTCTGCAGCCCAGAAACGCTCTTCTGAGTTCCATACTTATGTAACTGTGACTGCCTACTGGTTGGATTTAGTTGGATATCCCACAAGTATTCACAACTTTTATTCAGCATGTCCCAAATGAACTTACCATTACTCTGTGAAACCTGTTCCTCCCCTTGGGTGACAGTGAATGGCAGTGTCATTCTCCTGGTTACACAAGTTAGGAATGTGTGTTTTATCTTTAACTTGTCCCTCTCCTATTCCCCACATCAAATCAGTTATCCAGTGCCTGTGAATTAAACATCTTACTTCTCCACTTCCCTTTCCTTAACTCAGGTCACTTGTCATCCATTGCCTGGATTGACACAGTGGCCTCGTAACTGACTTCCTTGCTTCCGGTTATGCCCCCTGATCCCTCCCACCAGCCCTTTTCACACTGCAGCTAAAGCAAGCTGGCTTTTGGAAATATAAATCTTATAATATCATGCCCTGCTTAAAATCCTTTAGTGATTCACCACTGTTCTTCCTCAGACTTCTTCGTGTGTTGTTCAGGGCCACTTATAACTGGCCACCGTGTTCCTCTCCTGCCTCATCTACGGCCACTTCCTGCCTCACCCTGTTCACTCCACCCTTGTAGAACTGTGGTAAGGGATCTGGAGCTTCCCTAGGAACTTTCAAACAAAATTATTCCAAGAGGGTTTTGTTTTGTTTTGTAATTATCCATTTCGTACAATGCTCTTTTGTAATAATTGAAGTGTGATTTTTGTCCTAGTGGCTGAGGCATGGTGATAATGTGGGCACCTAGGCTGTGGGTAGCTAGCAAGGATGCAGATGGGAAAGTCACAGTGATGCCTGCATTGTGGTGGCTCTCATTTCACTCACGTTTTGGTGGGTAACAACTATTTTAAAGCACTGAATTGAAACTACGCAATTGTGTCTTATGTACTAAAATGTAATTTCAGTAATTCACTATGTTTTCCTGGAGTTAAGACATTTAAACTCTGGAAATAACAGTAATATGAAACAACAGGTCAACTCCTAGACATTCCAGGTTAACAATCTTCTACTATGTTTTCAGGTCCTCAAACACCTACAGTCCTTCTCTTTTCTTCAGCTTGGAAAGCTGTAACTCCTGTCCCTCTTTGCCTGGCCAGCTCCTATGCATCCTTCAGGTTCCTGCTAGGTGTTACCTCCTCCAGGATGCTTTCCTTAATTCCCAAGCACCCCTGTTAGAAGACTTGGTTGGGCTGTTTTTTAATTGTCTGTTTACTTTTCTCCATCCTCTACTAGACTGTAAAATGAGAACGAGGTCTGTATCTGTAAATTCACATTTTATCCTGTAACATAGTAGTGATTCAGCTATTTATTAGATTAAGAAATTAATGAATAAAGATAAATAAGTGGAAGAAATTCTAAGTAGGATTACCTAAGCAAGGTGAAAATGGAAAAATAGGTATATGATATCCGATATAACCCAGGGGTCCTAGAAAAGTTCTGTAAATAAGAAAGTCAACACAAAGTCCCACCCCAAGCCCAGTTACTAGAATAAGAGGCATTGTAGAATAAGCTGCCACCTTGAGCTTTTCCTTCCTGTCTCTCTTCAGGCAGTGCCAGCAGTTACCCCTGTGGACGAGGAGAGCTCGGATGGGGAGCCAGATCAGGAAGCTGTGCAGAGGTAATGTGACATCTGGCAGTGCTTGCAGAAGTCCTTGGGCAGGCTCCCCCTGCAACCAGCGAAAGGTCACCTCTGCCCAAGGAGGTGGTACAGTGCAGCTTCAACATTTGTGGTCACTTTGCTCAAGCCAGATGGCATGTTCCTCCCCACGTGGAAGTAACAGAAGACTACCCAGAAAATGTCTTTTCTGTAAGCACCACTGGAAGTCCCCTAAGTGACAGCAATAACCATAAGAACTTTTTCTTTCCTCCCTCCTTCCTTGTCCCCTGCTTTCATATTGCAACTCTGATAGTATTCACAAGGCACAAAGCCTGCTCCTACCTGCCAAGAACTGTTTACTGAAAAGGAATTGGAGATTTGGGATGACAGTGATCCTAGCTAGTCTGGCCATGGACCTCTGGCATGGACTCTTTCTTTCCAGGAAAAGGAATACCTCTTGTACTGTTTGCTGTGTGCTTCTTCCACCCCCTTGCACCAACCAAGAGATCTTGAAAAAAAGAATATGGGATTCGGGCCAGGGACAGATGCAAATATCCATTGTTTTCAGAACCTTGTTGAGAGATACCTAATTCACAGAGAACGGCAGTGACCGTCAGGCATGCTGTACTGTTCATTTGGCCTCAGTTCCATTAGCCCTGCTCCTCAGCTCCCTGCATGTCCCCTTGTGGGAGTCGATTTTCTTATCATCCGGGGAGGGGGTTTCACCAGAATCCAGCATGTGTTTTCCCAGAAATACAGGTGTGCTTCAAGATTATATGTTTTTTTCCTTTGAGGGAAATTGAAATAAAATGGTTTTCATGGGCTTTTGGGGGAACTTTGGGTGTCTTTATCAAATGGTTATTAAAGCACTAATGGCTTACTCTTTGGCAAGTTCACATAACGCTAATTACTCTACAGCCTGTTAACTGATTTTAGCTTAAAGGGGCAAGGTAGTAAAGAATGAAATGAGACCATTTTTTAAGAACCTGACAGTTGCTGGCTAGGACTCTCATCCTACCCCCAGTAGCTCTGTATGAGAGCTGCTATTCAAAAAGCAGCTGGTCCGGTGTGGAAAGAAAACCATGGCAAACAGTGGCGTTGGCAGGTGGATCAGCTCCTCCTACAGCTTGGCCAATAGAAGGAAAATGGTGGTAAATTTTTTTTTTCCTTGATGCTGTTGTTTCTATAGTTTGCTGATAACAGGGTATATACAGTTACAAATGGGCCCTGCTGGGTCATGAAGAAATGAGCAATCAGGAAATTTACTGCCTTTCTACCTTAAAAGAGACAGCAACATTTTATCTTCTTTGTCTTAGACTTTCCTTCCTCCAGGTCCACCTTCTTTCCTCTTTAGACCAACATTTCAAGGGTACTAATGCCTGTCAGTTTTGATGTAATAAAAAGGTATAGTGCCTCTTTTATTCATGCCCCCAGAAGAGCAGCAGCGGTGGAGAAAGTCATCCACCAGATGCAGAAGGACCAATATCTTATTAATGGTATTGACTAAGTGGAGGGTCTGAAAGATCTTCAGAGGAAAAGCCATCAGCTTGTGAACGCTTTGTCTTTTGAAACTCTTCTGTTTTTATTTTTTGCCTTGCTTTTCCCCCCTAAAAACAATTCTAAACATTTCATGTGGTTTTATTTCTTCATCCTCTACAGAATGTTGGTTCCCCAAGGACCACATCAGTTTTTCTTCTCTGATGCTTGAGTTATAGTCACCGAGAGAGAGGGAAGGGGTGGTTTTGGAATTCACTTATCCCCAAATTGAAGGATCAGTTTTGTGTGACCTGTAGTAAAGAAAGTCTCAAACCCGGGGCTTATGAGATCAAGAGACATACACAGAGTCCTTCTGAATTACCTCCCCAGGTTCATCTCTAGGAATAGTCCTTAGGGCTCATTTCCTCTGACTTGTATTTTAGAAATTTGGAGGGAAAAGATGAATAAATTAACATGGAGAAAATAAATTCTTCTACCAAATAGAATGAAGCAAGGAAAAGTGATCTCATCTTTGTGAGCTAGACCTGCTTTCTCTCTTCTCTTCAATGGCTATTCTTAGGTTCAGAATTCAGCCACTTCATTGTCAAGCCAACTTCTGTTGGCCGACCGGACGTGTTTCACTTCCATCCAGTCAGGGATCTGTTTGCCATGGAGCCCTTCGTGAGCTCTGGCACTGTCTCACTGAGTGCTCTGGATTAACTTCTAATGCTTCTTGTGGAGGAATATTCCTGTCTGTCTTTTTTACTATGAAATGTGCTCCTGCTTGTTGCAGATACTTGGCAAATAGGTCCAAAAGACATACACTGGCCATGACCAACCCTACAGCTGAGATCCCACCGGACCTACAACGGCAGCTAGGACAGCAGCCTTTCCGTTCCCGGGTCTGGCCTCCTCACCTGGTACCTGATCAGCATCGGTGAGTAGCCACATGAGCTGTGCGAGCTCCTTGAGGCTCATCGGACAGGCACCCTTCTGATTAGTCTCACAGCGACGGTGACTAGCATTGTGGCTTTAAATAGAAGCCAGCTGTCTTCCTGAACTCACATCTTCTCAGCTCCTTGCACTAAGCAGTGCACAGGGCAAAGGTTTTTTACTGCACCCTGGAGTAATGCGAGCTTCCTCTCTCCCATTACCCTGCAGACCTGTTTATTGTCTGCATTTGATTCCCATGATTCTAGATGTTGATTCTTAGATAAAATTGAACTTGAGACCTGCAAGGAAATGAAACTCTCAGAATGCCACCTGGAAACAGGAAGATTTGTAGTCATATCGATAGACTTGACCTTTAATAATCCATCACCTTCAAAAGAATGAGCATTTCATATCGTGTTACCATTGAACTACCAGCTTGGAATTGAAGACAAGCCCCTTGTGAATAGCAGAGCAGAGATCCTCTTGAGTGATGTATTTAAGAGGTCATTCTTTCAATATTCTGATGGCAGAATCTTTTGCTAGGTTCCATTACATTTATAATCCATTCTCTTGAAGAAACAAAAGCAAGTTTAACTTTCCTGGCCAAGAAAACTTCATTGACTCCAAGTAAGCCTGGAAGCAGGTGCAGAATGACACTTTGCTAGACGAAGAAGATTATTGTCTTCTGTGAATACCTTGATGACTAAAAATCTCAGTCATGTCCAGTCTGAAGCCATCCCCAAGCTCACGACCCATGCGTTCAAAGCCACCACCAATTGCTTGAGCGTATTTAATCTCTGTATTTTCGGGAAGACAGTGAAAAGCAGCCTTGGGAAGGTTGAAAAGCAATCAGATTCCAAGGAAAACAGGTTTATATATGTGTTGTTATGAAACCTTGCAACCAGCTCGCACTGGCAAGCTTTATTGTGGCTGGTTACCCGTTTGGCATCAACATCATCAGCAGAGGCAGTTGAACTCTGAGCAGACTGAGGCATAATTAGTGCCACGTTAGAACCCTAAAAGAAGGAAGATAAGCTTTTATAAATGACTGTGAATAATTTAATAAAAATGGTCTGTTAGGAGTAGCAAGAATGACGATTCACAGATAAACCTATGATGTCACAGAAAAACAGGCTTTTGCTAATGAAAATCTTTCAGGACCTACAGTGTTCGTGCACATTAAAGAGCACTTTGACCATCATGGCATGTGTATACCTATGTAACAAATCTACACATTCTGCACATGTATCTCAGAACTTAAAGTATGACAAAAATACATACATACACACACACATACACATACATACACACATACATACACACACATACATACACACACACACACATACATACATACACATACATACACATACATACATACACACATACACACACATACATACACACACATACATGCATACACATACATACATACATACACATACATACATACATACATACATACACACATACACACATACACACATAAATAAATGAAGAGCACTCTGAGTGATTACTGGAGAGCTGCCTTCTCCTCCCTTATACATTCCCTGTGACTTCTCATAACGTTGAGCTCTACACTGGTATCTAATAGACCCTTCATTCCTTCTCTTCTGCTTGTCTCCATCTTCCCTTCCTTCACAGCTTGACACTATGTTAGCCCTTGCCCAAGTGTGTTGTTTAGCTGAAGTCCTTTAGGTATTCTCATTGAGTTCTAGGTGTTCCTCAGGAGGTCTTACAAGGGGAACATGAAGATCAGCACATTTCCAGAGTCAGGCTTTATCACAGACCCTATATTCTATTGACATTTCTTCCTCAGGAAGGACCACACTGGCCACCGCTCTGTCTGTGCGATATCCACCCTGCCTAGAGTCATTGTCAAGGCCTTGCCTGCTGGAAATCTGTCTGCTGTCCGTTTTCATGGGAACCTTTTTGGTGCTTTGAGGGTTTCCTGTGGCCAAGCCTATTTGAATTGGAAGAAAATGAATGTTTAATGAGGGGCAAATTGCGTAAGGTGGGGCATTTGCGCAAACCCAGCATGTCTTGATGGGATCACTATACAAATATGCAAGAAAAGAGACGAAAGCCAGTCTTCAGGGGAAATGAGAAACTTCCCATGGCTATCAGACATGGAATACAGGTGGCCTGGATGGGTTCTTGAATTCCTTTCATTTTCTGGAGGAAATGATTAAAGAACAGTATATATAACTATCCTTCTGGGGTGGAAGAGATGAAGTTCAGCATGGAAACAGAAGAGGGGTCTGATCAACCTTTTCATATCTGGAAATGTGTAATTTAAGGTTAAAAATGTTTTTAAAAGTGTAACTAAAAAAAATTTTTTTTAAACTAACACAAGATAGGTTTTATCCAGGTGGGGAACCAGGTTCCTGTTTGGAGAGTATAGTGTGGGACTGTCAGCCTAATGCAAGGCCGTCGTGAATTTGAATGGGATTGCAAATACAAACGAAATCAAGCACAATCGATACTTAACAATGCTTCTCAAATGAACAGCTGCATCAGAACTGTTCCTCTGAGTTACTGTGCCGGACTGAGCTGGGTATCGGTCTCTTCACAACCTGAGCTCCTGAAAAAGTCCTGAACTACCTGGACCTGGGATTATTGCTCTGATGGGAGAGAATGATTTTTGTGCAGAAAGCCTGTATGGCTGCTTGAAGAACACAGCTTTCTGAGGTGATCAGAAACGCGTCCATTATCAGAAAACATTGAAAGCATAGGAGTCAGATTTTAGGAGAAAATAGTACTTGCTTGCTTTAACTCAGAAAACCTGAGGTAGAAACAGAAGTGACAAGTTATGAGGAAATGCTTCTGAACACAGCTTTCATGATCCCTGTTCCTGGATTGTGGCCCTTCCCAAAGTCATTTGTTTTTTGTGTTACTGAAACAAATACATGTTGGTGCCCATTTCATTAGCTCACTATTGGGTCAAGCCCCAGGTAGAGTCTGAAACTAAAGTCATCATTAGCAAAGAGAGGGTAAAAGGCTTTCACCTGCTGCCAGAACTCTCTGGGTACCTCTGCACCATTATTAGACTCCTCCTGGTCCCACACTGTCTGCATTGTATTTGAACTCGCTTGTTGACCTGCTTCCTGAGCTGTGGTTCTGCTTCAGTCCCAAATGAATCACTGGCATGGTGGCGCATCATTTCATCCAAAGTTCAGTGCAATGGCATCTCTGCCCTGGACATGAAACCCTGATCCTTTCCATCTGCTACTGGAATGCTGCCTTGGCAGTCTTTTATCTGCTTACCTCAACCCATAAACATCTCTTTCTGATCATCAGGTCACAAGTGTAGGTGTTAGCTTTGAACGCTGATGCTGTCTTAGGCATTCCTTATGAGTAGCTTGTTCTTTCTTTCTGTAAGCTTCTGGCTGTGTTCTGATTGAGCAGTGGGGTCTTTGAAGGTAACCCATATGATTCCTCTTTCATTAGGAGGTTGGGCGAGTACTGCTGCTCTGAGAAGTTGATTTTCACAGTAGGTGACCTTATTTGTGTTGACCAGGTATGGGCAGGATCTCAAGGCCCAGATTCCTTAAGAATTTGCTGTCTCCATCCCAGGATCAGAAGTCTTCATTTTCCCCCACCCTCAATCTCCACCTTCTGTTTTCTAGTACAGAACCTGTGCGTGCCAGGCTAGGCCTTTGACCACAAAACTGACTGTCGTTTTCCTCTGGTCATACAGAGATTATTGCTCAGAGAAAACTTTGGCTCAAATGATGAATTTAAGGTTTCAAAAGGCACTAGAGAGAGACATGATTATAAAAGAGCAAGAGCTCCTGTACAGCCTGCCCTGGAGGATATTAAGAACTTTACTGTCGGGCCTAGTATTTTTTTTTTTTTTTTTTGAGATGGCGTCTTGCTCTGCCACTAGGCTGAAGTGCAGTGGTGCAATCTCGGCTCATTGCAACCTCCGCCTCCCGGGTTCGAGCGATTCTTCCGCCTTAGCCTCCCGAGTAGCTGGGACTACAGGCGTGTGCTACCAAACCTGGCTAACTTTTTTTGTATTTTTAGTAGAGACAGGGTTTCACCATGTTGGCCGGGATGGTCTCGATCTCTTGACCTCATGATCTGCCCACCTTGGCCTCCCAAAGTGCTGGGATTACAGGCGTGAGCCATCACACCCAGCCTCTCTGGCCTAGTATTTTTATAAGAACCAGAAGTACTTGATCTCAGGACCTTACCAGGTTTGGAAAGTAAGCCAACTGAAGGTAAGTAGAGTTGGAAGATGTTCACCTGGAGCCCTCTAAAGGGAAGCAGGCTAGACAAACGACCAGTGTCTGGAAATGGCATGAAAATGGCATAATATGCAGGGCTACCCAGGCAGCCAGTCATCTTTATGTTCGTCTGGAACAGCAGTCCCTGTGTGATCTGGTCAAAGCCCCTGAGTCCCCTAGCCTCTAACCTTCTCTTCCCATGTATTCAGCTCTACCTACAAGGACTCCAACACTCTGCACCTCCCTACGGAGCGTTTCTCCCCTGTGCGCCGGTTCTCAGACGGGGCTGCGAGCATCCAGGCCTTCAAAGCTCACCTGGAAAAAATGGGCAACAGCAGCAGCATCAAACAGTTGCAGCAGGTAATGGAAGAGGTGGCAGGCATCCCTGGAGGAGCATGGGTGACAGAAGCCAGGACTGCAGGAGAACTGGGGTAGTAAACATACCCCCTTTATGTCAGCAACATTGCAGTTTTAGAGGTTAAAAAAGTATAGCTTTTTGGGCCAGATGCAGTGGGTCCCGCCTGTAATCCCAGCACTTTGGGAGGCCAAAATGGGAGAACTGCTTGTGCCCAGGAGTTCTAGACCAGCCTAGGCATCATGGCAAACCCCTTCTCCACAAAAAAGTTAAAAATTAGCATAGTCCCAGCTACTCGGGAGACTGAGGTGGGAGGATCACTTGCACCTGGGAGGTGGAGGTCGTAAGCCAAGACTGCACCCCTGCACACCAGCCTCGTGACAGAGCCAGACTCTGTCTTAAAAGAAAAAGGAAGTATAGCTTTCTAACGCACTTTATGTACTTTGTGTTATGTACAGCCCTCCCCAGGATCAAACTTGCTTCCCCCATGAAGGGACTAAATTTCTCTACTATCTGTAGTTCATTGGAAAGGAATTTCTGGCCTTGGGTTTCTGTGGGAAGCACCAGAGAAGGTACTTCTTTTTTTTTTTTTTTTTTTTTTTCGAGATGGAGTCTCACTCTGTCTCCCAGGCAGGAGTGCAGTGGCACAATCTCGGCTCACTGCAACCTCCACCTCCTGGGTTCTAGCAATTCTCCTGCCTCAGCTTCCCAGGTAACTGGGACTACAGGTGTGCGCCACCACACTGGCTAATTTTTGTATTTTCAGTAGAGATGGGGTTTCACCACGTCGGCCAGGCTGTGTCTCGAACTTCTGACCTCAAGTGATCCACCCGCCTTGGCCTCCCAAAGTACTAGGATTACACGTGTGAATCACCGTGCAACCCTGGCACTCTGCTCATGATTTAGGGCGCTGGGTCTTGCTTAAACTCGCTGTACATTGTTACCACCTGCATTCTCTCTAGGTGGTATAGAATGGCACTTTCAGAGGAAGGAAATGTACCTCTATATGTTTCTGTACTAAAGAGCCAGTTTTGGGCCGGGTGCGGTGGCTCACGCCTGTAATCCCAGCACTTTGGGAGGCCGAGGCAGGTGGATCACGAGGTCAAGAGATCGAGACCATCCTGGTCAACATGGCGAAACCCCGTCTCTACTAAAAATACAAAAAAATTAGCTGGGCATGGTGGCGCGTGCCTGTAATCCCAGCTGCTCAGGAGACTGAGGCAGGAGAATTGCTTGAACCCAGGAGGCGGAGGTTGCGGTGAGACAAGATCGTGCCATCGCACTCCAGCCTGGGCAACAAGAGGGAAACTCTGTCTCAAAAAAAAGAGCCAGTTTCCTTTCTGCCTTCGTGATGACCAAGTTTCCAGTGGCATGTGCTTTGTACACAGATTTCACATTGGACACCTTTACTCACACAGAGGCCATCCTTGATGTTTTCCATTCATTCATTCATACAGAACAGAGTGTGAACATGTTTAGTGCACCAGATCCCTATATAAATGAGTTAATTGCTCATCAAGGACACTGTTCTCTTGCAGCTCTTTCTGCCCTTGAGACCCTGGGGGCAGATCTGCCCCTGCTGAGATCACTGCATGGGGTGGGCCTGGCTACATCCCGTCTGTATTAACTTCTTTCCCTTCAGGAGTGTGAGCAGCTGCAGAAGATGTACGGGGGGCAGATTGATGAAAGAACCCTGGAGAAGACCCAGCAGCAGCATATGTTATACCAGCAGGAGCAGCACCATCAAATTCTCCAGCAGCAAATTCAAGTAGGCCCTCACTCTTTGCTGTCTCCAACTTGTTTGAAGTTTGCTTTCAGGCTGATTTGCCTGTGCATTTTGGAGGAGACCACTCAGGGCAAAGTGGATTTGAGTCCTGTTGATGGTCAACATGTTTGAGTAAAGGTAATCAGACCTTCCAGCGAATAACAAAAGCATAAATCTGAGACACAGATAGTTCTTTCTGTTCCTTCCCTTCCTGAGAATAGCTCTGAGTAATCTTCAAGCTCACAGTGATTTTTTTCCCTTTCCCCATATACGTTTTAGGACTCTATCTGTCCTCCTCAGCCATCTCCACCTCTTCAGGCTGCATGTGAAAATCAGCCAGCCCTCCTCACCCACCAGCTCCAGAGGTAATGAATCATTTTGTGTTGTGCCTAAGCCATTGTCTCAACAGCTTGGTACCCTTGGCCTGACTCGCTGGGAGATATGGACTGACTTGAACATTCATCTTGCAAGAAACGAAGATAAACCAGTGTACATTTCAGGACCCTTCTTGGAATCCCAGCTTCCTGTGCCACTTCATTTTCCTAGCTCCATGAGCAAAGTAATCTGATACCTAATACAGGAGGCCAGACACAGGCCCACAATGAACTCTGCCATTTTGGCTGAGAAGTCTAGTCAAACGAGATGGGGATAGGTTTTAAATAGACTGTGGTGGATGGCTTATGGATATTTTTCTAACATGAAGCCTTATCAAAATAAAAAAAATAGTTTCCACTTATATATGTCATATGGCTGAAACTTAAGATTGTACTGTCACCTTAGGAAGCTTCTTTATGTATCTCTTTTGTTATTTTTAAGGTTAAGGATTCAGCCTTCAAGCCCACCCCCCAACCACCCCAACAACCATCTCTTCAGGCAGCCCAGTAATAGTCCTCCCCCCATGAGCAGTGCCATGATCCAGCCTCACGGTGAGTGGAGAGGTTCAGACTACACGGTTCATTATATGCCACATGGGAAAAATTGATGGTCTCAGTTTCCAGCACTACAAACCGTTTGTAAGGCAGAATATCACAGCATTCAGGGGTATGGGCTCTAGAGCCAAGCTGCTTTGGTTGGTATCCTGGTTCCACCAATTTCTTAGCTGTAAACCCTTGGCTAAGTTAACTTGACTTCTTGAATTAGTCCGTTTTCACATTGCTGTAAAGAACTGACTGAGACTTGGTAATTTATAAAGGAAAGAGGTTTACTTGATTCAGTTCCACGTGGCTGGGGAGGCCTCAGGAAACGTACAGTCATGGTGGAAGAAGCAAGGCGTGTCTCACACGGGGGCAGGAGAGAGTGCGTAGGGGAAAGTGCCAGACACTTATCAAATGACCAGACCTCTTGAGAGTTCCCTCACTATCATGAGAACAGCATGGGGGAAACCACCCCCATGATCCAGTCACCTCCACCAGGTCTCTCCCTCAACACCTGGGAACTACAAGATGAGATTTGAGTGGGTACACAGAGCCAAAACCATATCACTTCTCAAATGTCAACTGAGGATACTTAAGGCACATGCTGTACCATAACTGATCTGGCACAAAATGGTTTCCAATAAATGTTAACTAGTATTAATATTTTTAATCAAATCTCCAGCCCTGCCAAATAAAAAGCAGCTACCAGAATCTTCGTTAGAGTCACACCTCCATTTGGCTGTCCACTGTGCATATGGGCCCCTCTCTTGTGGGTGTATAGATGAGAGTGAAGATAAGTATACCATGACTGTGTGAGTCTTCAGAGATCCAGCTGAGGATCTCTGCAGTAACACTCCCCAAGCTGCGTTCCTCGTCATTCTCCCTAGCATCCTTGAGAAGAGTCTGTATTGGCCTGTGGACACTTAAAGTGGGGTCCCCCAGCCACCAATATTGGCAGAAAAAGTAAGATCTCATGTTGTATTCCAGACCTGCTCAATTGGAGTGTGCATTTTTAACCAGATGCCAGGCCATTTGTGTGCATGTGGAAGTTCAAGAAGCACTGCCTAGATCCGAGTTACCCAAAGTATAATCCATGGACCAGCTTTTAGAAAAGGGAGCTGGTTGGAAACACAAATTCTTGGGGGCCCACCCTGACCTACCAAATCAGAGTTTGGAACAGAATTATGTAGATGGAGCCCAGGAATCTTCTGTTTAATGAGTTCTCCAGACTTGTCTTAGACACACTGCAGTTTGAGAAGCACTGTTCCAGCTGGTATGTGGTTTGAGTATCCTCATCGGCTCTCATTACTCCTGGCTGGCTGGTGCCCTGGGCACTTGGTCACTCTGAGATTCCTTTCTCTCCAGGTGCTGCATCTCCCTCCCAGTTTCAAGGCTTATCTTCCCGCAGTGCAGTCTTCCAGCAGCAGCCTGAGAACTGCTCCTCTCCTCCCAACGTGGCACTAACCTGCTTGGGCATGCAGCAGCCTGCCCAGTCACAGCAGGTCACCATCCAAGTACAAGAGCCTGTTGACATGCTCAGCAGCATGCCAGGCACTGCTGCAGGATCCAGTGGGCGGGGCATCTCCATCAGCCCCAGTGCCAGTCAGATGCAGATGCAGCACCGTACCAACCTGATGGCCACCTTCAGCTACGGGCACCGTCCCTTGTCCAAGCAGCTGAGTGCTGACAGTGCAGAGGCTCACAGGTAAGGCCGCCTAACGTTACCCAGCCATCTATGCATGGGATCCAGGCGGGAGGAAGCCCCTTAGCAGGGTGAGAGAAAAGGAGGAAGGAGAATGGGTCTGATTAGGCTGTGCTCTTGTTTCACCGTTTATAAAATCAGGATGGTGGGTTTGGGATGAACTTGTCAGCTTTTTATTGACGCAGGGTTAAATTTCTAAAGAGACTGAGGTGAAAAATGAGAAAGCTACCTTATTATTTGCTTACAAAGAAGAAAATGGCCTATTAGAGGAGTGTATAAAAATGCCAGTTCCCCTTTTCTTGAAGTTGTTTCCTTCAAGGTGAGCTAGATTATTACTCACGCAGTGCCCTCAGTCCCTGGGAGGTTACTGGACATGCCAATAATGTAGTAAGTAGGAACAGTACGTACATCTGCCATTTCCCTGTCGCACCACAGTTCTCTGTGCCAGGGGGTGCTCCCTACTGAGGCAGAGGAGGAGCTGTTCCCTGGGGAGTCTAGTACTTGTTACATGGATAACTGGTACTCACTCCCTTTTGTGTCTGCAGCTTGAACGTGAATTGGTTCTCCCCTGCTAACTACGACCAGGCGCATTTACACCCCCATCTGTTTTCGGACCAGTCCCGGGGTTCCCCCAGCAGCTACAGCCCTTCAACAGGAGTGGGGTTCTCTCCAACCCAAGCCCTGAAAGTCCCTCCACTTGACCAATTCCCCACCTTCCCTCCCAGTGCACATCAGCAGCCGCCACACTATGCCACATCGGCACTACAGCAGGCCCTGCTGTCCCCCACGCCTCCAGACTATACAAGACACCAGCAGGTACCCCACATCCTTCAAGGGCTGCTCTCTCCACGGCATTCACTCACCGGACACTCGGACATCCGGCTGCCCCCGGCAGAGTTTGCACAGCTCATTAAAAGGCAGCAGCAACAACGGCAGCAGCAGCAGCAACAGCAGCAGCAGCAGCAGCAGGAATACCAGGAACTGTTCAGGCACATGAACCAAGGGGATGCGGGGAGTCTGGCTCCCAGCCTTGGGGGACAGAGCATGACAGAGCGCCAGGCTTTATCTTATCAAAATGCTGACTCTTACCACCATCACACCAGCCCCCAGCATTTGCTACAAATCAGGGCACAAGAATGTATCTCACAGGCTTCCTCAGCCACCCCGCCCCATGGGTATGCTCATCAGCCGGCACTGATGCATTCAGAGAGCATGGAGGAGGACTGCTCGTGTGAGGGGGCCAAGGACGGCTTCCCAGACAGTAAGAGTTCAAGTACATTGACCAAAGGTTGCCATGACAGCCCTCTGCTCTTGAGTACCGGTGTACCTGGGGACCCTGAATCTTTGCTAGGAACTGTGAGTCACACCCAGGAATTGGGGATACATCCCTATGGACATCAGGCGACTGCCGCATTCAGTAAAACTAAGGTGCCCAGCAGAGGTAAGTGTCTCCTCACAGTGAAAGTCCTGGGCCAGTCTGCCCTAATCAACTGACTCAGTAATGTTGTCATTTTTCAGTTAGTATTCTGTGTTCCTAACAAAAAAAGAATTTCTGAGAAGAGCTTCAGGACCTTCTTGGGGAGAAGCATGTAGGAAGTGGGTGTTGGTGGGTGAGGGGTCCATTTTCAAACTCAGAGGACAATGATACAGAATCAACACTTAGTCAGCTAGGTGATCTGTTTCCCTCATTTATAACACAGTTTCTTGGAACCAGAAAGCCTTGACTGCCACCAAAACAGCTAACTTAACTTCTGCAATGGAAAAAAGTCAGCCAAACACCATGTGGTGTAAATAGTGCTGGAACAAGAGTCAAAGCACCTGAATTCTGCTCTGGCTGCTGTCATAAATACCATAACTTCGTCATTTAAACTCTCTGATTCTGATATTCCTCATCCGTGAAGAAGGTGCTGGAGGAACAGTGCTTCCTTACAGAGTATTGTGGAGATGAAAACATAAATACATGTGTTGGTTTTTACACAATGTTTGTGTGAGAGAGACGCACATTCAGATCATCTGAAATGTGTGGTTTCAGTGTATAAATGGGAGGTGTTGTACTTCGGTCATTTGGGCCCCATATGGTTGGATTTTGTGCCACTTTATAATTAATGGGTATGTTCATCCTCATTCTGAAGGAGATTAGGATTACACTCAGTAAGTTATACTTAGAAAATATAGTTCCATTAGCATCATGGCATTCATCCTAGACAAAACCAGGAGTCTGGCGGACCGGGCGCGGTGGCTCACGCCTGTAATCCCAGCACTTTGGGAGGCCGAGGTGGGTGGATCACGAGGTCAGGAGTAGAAGATCAGCCTGGTCATCACAGTGAAACCCCATCTCTACTAAAAATACAAAAATTAGCCAGGTGTGGTGGCACATGCCTGTAATCCCAGCTTCTCAGGAGGCTGAGGCAGGAGAATCACTTGAACCTGGGAGGCAGAGGTTGCAGTGAGTGGAGACCACCATTGCACTCTAGCCTGGGTGACAGAGTGAGACTCTGTCTCGGAAAAAAAAGAAAAAAAAAAAAAAAAAAAAAAACGGAATCTTGCAATTTACCACCCCTCACCTGCCATCCAAGGGAATAAAAAGCAATTGATCCGTAAACTGTACAACCCTGAGACTGAGCAGTGTCTTCCATCCTTCCCTCCCTGGAATTACCTGCATCTCCTGCCCTGTCCTTAAAAGTCAATGCTGAAAACTCGGCTCTAAGGGGAATTAGCTCCTGCAGCACAGAGCAGTAGAGAAGACCTTGCTGTAAAGCAGCGTCTGTGAAGAAGACTTGGTGGTGTCAGGTTGTACTCATTCTACACTCTTAAGGAGGAAATTGTTGCCTCAAATGCCAATTAAATCCTGACCTTTATAACAGACGGGTGTCATCCAGCTCAGAGGTTGGCGCCAGTGAGATGCATTGTGCTCACCTGTGGCTGCTGTAGTCTCAGTGGACATAGAAGGGTGGGAGCCTTCAGAACCAGGTAGTAGGTGGAATGGTTAACAGACCAGATGGTTTTTAGGATTGGGAGGGAAAAACTAAGAAATATCACACTTGTTAGGTGGAAGAAGAGATTAGATTTTTCTGAGTTCATATTATGGGGAAGAACTAAGATCAAGATAGAAGTTGCAGCAATTTTCCACTCCCTGTGGAAAACCCTTCTAAGAACTCTCCAGAATAGGCTGCCTTAGCAGCCTGGAGCTTTCTAACAGAGGTGGGACGATGGTCTGGGAATGCTGTGGAAAAGATTCCCCTGCAAAGGGACACTTCTAGCAGATGAACACACTATACCTGGCCTGAAAAGGAGATGAGCTCACACTTCTGTTGTGCTCCCCATGTGCCAGGCAAATGCTGTTCATACATGGATTCATTTAATCCCCACTACAGCCCTAGAATAACCAACTCGTATTCCCATTTACCAGTGAAACAGTGGAGGCACAGAGATTAAGTAACTTGTCCCCAAGGTCAATAGCTAGTGAGTGGCAGCTGAACCTAAGAGTACTCACACTAGCTGTCACTGACACAAGAGATGCTCACCGAGCAGGTGCCGGGTGTGCAGGGCACTGAGGAAGGAGCTCAGCTGCAGCAAAGTGCCCCCGCCCTCCACCCCTGCCCCCGCATGGGTTACCATTCACTTTCAGTACTTTCTGAAATGTTTTTCTTCAAAAATTATTTTCCCTAGTGTCTCTTTACCTTCCTTCCTGTGTGACTTCTATGTGTAGAAAGGCTGGAGAGCATAATTCCCCATTGTCCCCTGATTGGCGGAGGAGCCCTTCCTCGGCAGGCACGCTCGTCTGCTGAGTGCCCACTGTTGGTGCAAGTGCTGTGGGCGCACCGGGGGAGGGAGAGATTAGTTCAAACCCAAGGAATGAGGTCGTTTCCAGCAACAAGTAGATGTGGGTTGGGTCATGATGGATGAAGGAGGTTTGCCATTTGGATCTAGAGGAGAAGCAAGAGAAAAGAACAGTGGGTGAGACTATCAGGGAATTTTCCAAGGACAGCAGCAGGCTTGGCTGGTTTGAAGTGTAGTGTACATGAAGGCAATAGTAGAAGCTAAGGACAGGGGTTTTCTAAAATGAATCATCTAGGTTCACCTGCATTGTGAAAAAAATCAGGGTTTGTTTTCTTTCTTTCTTTCTTTCTTTCTTTCTTTCTTTCTTTCTTTCTTTCTTTCTTTCTTTCTTTCTTCTTCTTTCCTTCCCTCCTTCCCTCCTTCCCTCCCTCCCTCCCTTCTTTCTTTCTTTCTTTCTTTTTCTTTCTTTCTTTCTTTCTCTTTCTTTCTTTTCTTTCTTTGAGGCAGAGTCTCACTCTGTCACCCAGGCTGGAATACAGTGGCAGGATCTTGGCTCACTGCAACCTCTGCCTCCCAGGTTCAAGCAGTTCTCCTGCCTCAGCCTTCTAAGTAGCTAGGATTACAGGCGTGCACCACCACACCCGGCTAATTTTCTTGGGGTTTTTTTTGTTTTTTTTTTTTTTAGAGACAAGGGTCTCACCATGTTGCCCAGGCTGGTCTTGAACTCCTGATCTCAGGTGATCCACCCGCCTCGGCCTCCCAAAGTGCTGGAATTATAGGAGTGAGCCACTGCGCCTCGCCTTTTGTGTGTGTGTGGTTTTTTTTTTTTTTTTTTTGTATTTTTAATAGAGATGGGGTTTTACCATGTTGACCAGGCTGGTCTCAAACTCCTGACCTCAAGTGATCCACCCACCTCGGCTTCCCAAAGTACTGGGATTATAGGCATGAGCCACCATGCCTGGCTGTCAAGTTTCTTTTAAAAACTTGAAAGCTTACATTTTAACTTTACCGAAAAATCATCAGATAATTTGCTGTCACTTTTGTCACAAAGGGCTTATAATGCTGTGCCCCTACCACCCTGCAGGCAAGTGGGGAGCTCACTCCTCAACCTTTTTGGCCAGGAAGGAGTGCCTGCTGTTCCTTCTCACAGTCCCTCCTTCTCCGTGTAGGTAGGTGCTAGTCCCAAACACTTCAGCTCTTTTTCCTGTGGGAAAGCAACTTCAACACATAGAGAACAGCTGTGTTGCACAAGACTGTACTGCAGGTGCTCTGGGAATGCAGGTGTGAAATGTTAAAGAACCTCTCCTCAGGGAGCTTCTACTCTTCTGGCGGATGTAAAACAAGCTCATAAACAGCTTTGCTGTGAAGTCCTAGGTACTGAGTGCTACAAGAACTATCATTAAGAAGAGCAGAGCTAGTGTGATCTTAGCATTTCTTAAAGGTAGGTGAGCAGGGATTATTGGTGCTATTTAGTTTACTTTTTGAGCCAGGTTCTTGCTCTGTCACCTAGGCTAGAGTGCAGTGGTACAACCACAGTTCCCTGCAGCCTCGACCTCCTGGGCTCAAGCAGTCTTCCCACCTCAACCTCCCGAGCAGCTGGGACTACAGGCGGGTATCGCTACATTCAGCTATTTTTTTTTTTTTTTTTGGTAGAGATGAGGTCTTGATCTGTTGCCGGGGCTGGCCTTGAACTCCTGGGCTCAAACAGTCCTCCCTCCTTAGCCTCCCAAAGTGCTGAAATTACAGGCACAAGCCACCACACCCAGCCATGTTGGTATTAGTAAAGGAAAGTTAGATTCCATCATATCACTGTCCATGGTTACCTATTTCCTTGATGGCCGTTTGCCACCAGCCAAGCCAGTATGAGACTAGGCAGTGTGAGCACTGAGCAGGCAGCATGCCAAAGGTCTGTTTCAAATTTGGAGAAGTGTCAGGACTTCGAGGCCAGGTACGGTGGCCCATGCCAGTAATCCCAACACTTTGGGAGGCTGAGGCGGGCGAATCACCTGAGTTGGGAATTCGAGATCAGCCTGACCAACATGGAGAAACCCGATCTCTACTAAAAATATAAAAATAGCCAGGTGTGGTGGTGCATGCCTGTAATCCTAGCTACTCAGGAGGCTGAGGCAGGCGAATCACTTGAACCCAGGAGGTGGAGGTTGCGGTGAACAGAGATCTCACCATTGCACTCCAGCCTGGGCAATGAGAGCAAAAATCTGTCTCAAAAAAAAAAGAAGTCTCAGGACTTCACATGCTCCATGCTGCCTGTAATCTCCCTGTCTGCCACCCTAGAAGTAAAAATAAGATTTGTCTTTCTTCTATAGTGTTACATAACACTTTAATTTTTTTGACGTTGCAAATAAATACAGCAGTGTAACCAGTCTACGCAATGAGATTACCAACTGGAGCTCACAAAGAAAACCACATCCTCTTCTCCGAGCTCAGTCAGCCTCAGCATTATTACTCAGGCCTCATAGAGCAAAGCAGTAAAATGCTGACAGACTGGGAGAGGTTACCCCAGAGCCTTTAAGGGGTGTATGCAAGCACGTCATTGCTCCCATTTTCTCTTAAAACCTAGTAAGTGAGTAAGGACGAGTCAACATCGACAGATCTGTTCGAGAATTGTGTCAGTTGCCCCAGAGTTCCCCGGGCAGGTGGTGTATGCATTGTGTCCGTTTGTGCATTTTTCCCCTTGTGTGATTGAACAATCATCCCACCTCTGCATTCTCTCTCTCTCTTTTTTTTTTAAATTATACTTTAAGTTCTGGGGTACATGTGCAGATCTTGCAGGTTTGTTACATAGGTATACACATGCCATGATGGTTTGCTGCCTCCATCTCCCTGTCACCTACATTAGGTATTTCTCCCAATGTTATCCCTCCCCAGCCTCCCCACCTCACAACAGACCCCAGTGTGTGAGGTTTCCCTCCCTGTGTCCATGTCTTCTCATTGTTCAGCTCCCACTTATGAATGAGAACATGCAGTGTTTAGTTTTCTGTTCTTGTGTCAGTTTGCTGAGAATGATGGATTCCAGATTCATCCATGTCCCTGAAAAGGACATGAACTCATCCTTTATCATGGCTGCATAGTATTCCAGAGTGTATACGTGTGCCATTGTCTTTTTCCAGGCTATCCTTGATGGGCATTGGGGTTGGTTCCAGGTCTTTGCTATTGTAAATGGTGCTGCAGTAAACATACGTGTGCATGTGTCTTTATAATAGAATGATTTATAGTCCTTTGGGTATATACCCAGTAATGGGATTGCTGGTCAAATGGTATTTCTATTTCTAGATCCTTGAGGCATCACCACACTGTCTTCCACAATGGTTGCACTAATGTACACTCCCACCAACAGTGTAAAAGTGTTCCTGTTTCTTCACATCCTCTCCAGCATCTTCTGCATTCTCTTAGCTTTCGTTTGATAAATAATCGGTCCCCAAGTGGTCGGTAGGGTCTCATTTATAGAGTGTCACAAAGGACTTCTAGACTCAGGGTCCACATTCTTACCAAAAATCAGACTTGACTCACCTGGTCCTTTACAATTGATTAAAGACTCTTTTACATGTGTTGTCTTTTTGAGCCCCCAAACAACTCTCATTTTTCAGATCAGGAACCTTGAGGAGAAGCTAAAAGATTTGCCAACATTTGTGTACTTTGCTGGTGAAGGAGCTAGGTCCTGAATTCAAGTTTTCTGATTCTCTAGTCATATATTTTTCCCTTTACGCCTCCTTGCCCACTCTGCACCTTCCAAGCACAGCTGCCAAATGAAAGATACTAGCCCTAGGCCGGGCACAGTGGCTCACGCCTGTAATCCCAGCACTTTGTGAGGCTGAGGCAGGCGGATCACGAGGTCAAGAGATTGAGACCATCCTGGCCATGGTGAAACCTCGTCTCTACTAAAAATACAAAAATTAGCCTGGCGTGGTGACACGCGCCTGTGGTCCAAGCTACTCGGGAGGCTGAGGTGGAAGAATCGCTTGAACCCAGGTGGAGGTTGCAGTGAGCCGAGATTGCACCACTGCACTCCAGCCTGGTGAGAGAGTAAGACTCCGTCTCAAAAAAAAAAAAGATACTAGCCCTTCCAGGTCTTTGACCTACTGATTATACTGCAACTTGAGCAGACAGAGCCCTGGTTTATTCCCTGACTCCTATTAATACTCTTTCATCTGGTTTTTAACTCACATTTGTCTGTCCCGATCAGAGGCGTCTTCTGGAAGTTAAAGTTTCCCTGAGTCATTTGTTCATTTACATATGGGTAAATTATCCCTCGTAATTCTGCAAGCAGGGTTCTGTGATTAAATCAATTTCCTTGTTTGTTTTTGTCAGCTGACTCAGTATGGCCTTATGCACTCAGAAATAACATCTCTAAACTGAATATAAATCATGCCAGACTTCATTGAGCTTTTACAGTGTGGTATCCTCTATGAAGCACTCCACATCCATGGTGTCAGTCCTGTTGAATGGATAAGTAAGCCCCAGCAAAGCGGGATAACTCGCCCAGGTTCCCACTCCCCAGGAAGCAGCGAAGCCAGGATTCACGGCCAGGTCTTCCTGACCCCAGAGCTTGTGCTCAGGGCCCTTGCGCTCAACTGCAGCTTGGCTGAGGATGAGCTCTGGGCTGGGAGTCAGGAAGGCCCCTCACATGATTTGTCAGGCTGTCACTTGCTCTGTCTTGGTGCCTACAGGCATCAAACCTGAAGGCGGGAAGAGAGCAGACAAGGCAGAGCCCAGAGGGTGGGTGTTTTGGTTTGCAGAGGCCCCATTCTCAGGAATAAAAACAAGTTCTGAGGGGGGTCGGGGGAAGAGCCTTAAGAGACACAGCAAACAAAGAACTCTGAGGCCTCCGGAAGGGCAGGAAGGCTCCTGCCAGGGCTGTATACATTTTGTTAGCTTTGCCATTTCCTCATGGTTAGTAATGATCTTTTAAAATCTTTAAACAGGAGACCGCTCATGTTTGTCCTTGCGGAGAGCAAAGAGGTGCAACTGATGAGATTTGCATCCAATATGTAATCAGGCTTAAAGGAGAAGAGCACCCAAGGAATGGAGTGGGTGATGTTAGCTCAAAGAAGTCAGTATAGGTTTTTGAAAAAGTGAGAAGCGGCTGCTCACATTGCTTCTTGGCAAAGGAGACAATCGACATTTCCTCGCTCCCACACAGCTGTGTTGCACCACTTCCTGCCAGTGGTTTTTGGTTGGCCCTGGTGCCACCGTGCGAGCTGGCCGCGGAGGGGAATGGGTAGAGTAGGTACAATGGGCGGGCTAATTCCACAGAACAAGTTCTGGTGTAGGCTTGCTTTTCTCTTCTCTCCACTGGCTTTTAGCTTTCTGTAGCAAAATAGTTGGCTGCTGGCTTTTCCTTTTACCTCTTTGTTCAGAGAACTGTCAAAAGATTTCTCACTTGCCATCATCTTTAGTTGGTAGTTGGGAAGCTCCCTCCTGCTCACTTTCCTCCAAAATGTCTTGCGTTACTAGCACGTGTCAGTTAGCTCCCCTCCCTTTCCATCCTGCCTCTGCCCTAAGTCCAAGCCTAACCTTAATCATTTCAATAAACCTTTTAAACACAGAGAGCTGAAATCCCTTACCCAACACTCAAGAAGAATGCTTTACTTTCTTATTCAAATAGATCATTGGAATGGTGCAGTTAGCATTAGAGCTGTGCTTGCTATGAAGAGGTTTTTTTTTTTAGCTTAGTCCCACCAGCAGTCAGTTCATCCGAGATAACCGACTGGAAGCTAGCTGGGGCAGTGCTGTAGACATGAAAGTGAGTGAACTATAGAACGATCCATCTGTGTAGGGCAGTAGCAGGGGCATGGTTATGAGGCTAACAATCCAGGCACGAGGTCATCGGGTTTCCGTGAGATTGGAAACAGAGGGCCTCAAGTGACCAGCGTGGCAGAGGTAGATACATTAGACTCCACGCTGTTGCAGCATCAGGAGTAAGGGATCAATGGTGGCCCTAAGTGCTTCTGTCTGGAAGATTCGGAAAATGAGGCATCAAAACAACAATGTGTGAAGGAGTAGCAGGCTATAGGGCAGTTGATGGGTCTGGAATTGGACACGGTAAGTGTTACATGCTGGTTAGATATCCAGGGAAAGATACCTAGTAAGTAGCTGGAAATGTGGATCTTGGGTTTAAAGGAGCACTTCAGTAATTCTTTACATAAAGGCAGTGCAGCCATGGAAATAGATGCTGTCGCCAGAGTAAGTGTGGGGAGACAGAAGGTCAGGGACAAAAATGTGGAGAGTGCTTGCTTAGAACGGGTGGAGGTGCCATTGAAGGAGTCCGAAGCAGCAGTTAGAGAAGTGGGAAGGAGAGGAGCAGTGTGGTACACTGAGGTCACCGGGGGAGGAGAGAGGAGGCAGCCACAGAACAGACACATCCTCCCAGGCTAGAGGTTCCTGAAAGCAAAAGAATTTCGTGAGAGTAATTCTCGTGTGCATCTGCATTTGGGAATCGATCATTGTTAATGCAACGGAGAAATGAAAGAAGAGAAGGTTCAATGGGGTCCAGCCATACCTCCACGTATGATCCCCTCCTAAAGAGGCTTATCTTTGCTGTAGCAACTTATCTTTGCTGGTGGCGGGCTCTAAGCCATGACCACCGAGTGAGGGTTAATGCTTAGTGTACTTGGTCTCCTCAGCTTTGCCATTGTCCCTTGTAAGACATTTCTTGGGTGGGGGTTTCCAGTGCTGGGGGAAGTTCAGCCCCACTGACTCTATGTGCTGTGTCTCCTCAGAGCCGGTCATAGGGAACTGCATGGAGAGAAGTCCTCCAGGACAAGCAGTGGAGCTGCAGGATCACAACGGGCTCGGGTACCCCGCACGCCCCTCCGTCCATGAGCAGCACAGGCCCCGGGCCCTCCAGAGACACCACACCATCCAGAACAGCGACGATGCTTATGTATGTTGGTCCCTCTTGCTGTGCAGAGGTGGATCCTCCCATCTGTTTCCAGCCTTGAAGCACAGCATGGTGATGCGGGGTAGCTTCTCTTGGCCGCTCTCCTCACTCAGCATCCAGCCTTTCTGGAAACTGTGGGGAGCGTTTGTTTTTTGAGATGGAGTCTCACTCTGCCGCCCAGGCTGGAGTACAGTGGCATGACCTCAGCTCACTGCAACTTCCATCTCCCCGGTTCAAGTGATTCTTGTGCCTCAGCCTCCTGAGGAGCTGGGACTGCAAGTGCTTGCCACCACACCTGGCTAATTTTTGTATTTTTAGTAGTTATGGGATTTCGCCATGTTGGCCAGGCTGGTCTCCAACTTTTGGCCTCAAGTGATCTTCCCGCCTTGTAAGCATTTCTTTGAGTCACCCTAACAGAGCAACCCTTAATTCCAGTAGAATCTATGCTCCAAATTTTAGACCATGGAATCAGAAACAGTTGCCATCTGTTCCCTATAGGTTTGGTTATTAAACCTCTTCTCAGTCTAAACTCAGGTCCCAGATGAGCCTATAGGCTTTTGGTTCTTTTTCTACATAGTAAACTATACTGATCGGGGAGCTGGTGGGCCTCAGCAAAGTTTTGCTTTCCTAGAGTGGTGCTAGTCTAATAGCTAGCCACATGTGGCTATTCAAATCTAAGCCAATTAAAATGAATAACAATGAACAATTAGTTCTTCAGTCATACCAGCTAAAGTGCTCTGTAGCCACCTGTGGCTAGTGGTTACCATGTTGGACAGGACAGAGAACATTTCCATCATTGCAGAGTGTGACTAGATGGTGCTGTTCTAAGATAAAGTCCCAGTGGTGATGGGGATAGGTCAGAAACCTGGTTTTAGAAGGCCATGTAAGTGTCAAGGTGTCACCACCAGCTGAGATTTGCCACATTCGCCCCACCCCACTTCCCCCACCCCGCGGGCAAAACCACGCTGTTGCTATGGAGCGCGCCCTTTGGGTGGTGCTGTAGAGGAAGGAGTCTGGGAGTGGGGCCCCAGGCTCTCTGTTGCCTGAGAGCGGTGCAGTCTCTGGTGTGCTTCCATCTTCTTCTAACTGTTTTCTGCAGGTACAGCTGGATAACTTGCCGGGAATGAGTCTTGTGGCTGGGAAAGCACTTAGTTCTGCCCGGATGTCGGATGCAGTTCTCAGCCAGTCTTCGCTCATGGGCAGCCAGCAGTTTCAAGATGGGGAAAATGAGGGTGAGGAGCCTTCTGCCTGGGGCACTCCAGAGATGTTCCTGGAGGGGCCCTCCTCCATCTTCCGTGACTGCGCCCCTCTTCTGCAGGAAGAGCTCATGGGGAGGTGGAGCCACAGCATCCCACAGGTTCTGGACACAGCCCCTTTCCCCACAAGTCTTTCCCTGAGTGCGGTGTGTAAAGGAGGCGTGGCTTCTAGCCAGACGGCACAGGGCTCTCATATTCCTGTCTCTGATCTTTGTGACAATATGCCTTCAACAACTCCTTTTGGCTCTGCTTAGAGGGCATCAGGTCCTGATGGAACATTTCTACCTCTCCTTGGAGCCAGCCAAGGGAGGGTGTCATAACGAATACTAGGCATAGGCCCTGGGCAGCACAGGTCTGCCGTCAGTCCCAAGGCTGTCCTTTTCAGGCTCTGCAGGCAAGGGACTTGGCTTTTCTGGACCCTGAGATTCTCATCTATAAAGTGGCAAAAATGACAGAGCGTTTATCCTACGTTGTGCTGTGAGGGCAGGCTGGCTTAGTGAGTATAAAGTGCTTAGTACAATGTCGGAGCACTGACAGTGCCCAGGAACGGGTACCTGCAGGCAGTAAAACGATTGTCCCTTTCAGCCTTTAAGAGGTGGTCCTTTCTGAAGGAGTCCTCTATCTTCTGTCATACTACAGTAGTTGATCTTACTTAAGGATGGGAAAGGGTAAAGGAAAAGGGGAAAAATGGAACAGGCAGAGGAGAATACAAGAAGAATCTTGGCCCCCACCCATCGTCACTCAGCACCTTGAGGGGCCTGCTGTGAGCCAGAATTCAGGGTGGCAAGTCAGGCTCTGGGATGCTCAGACAGGTTGCCCTCAATTCCTCTTCTCTCTCCCCCTTGCGCTCTTAGCCCCTCAGTTCCCTGCCAACCTCATATATTCTTTTTGGTCTTGCAGAATGTGGGGCAAGCCTGGGAGGTCATGAGCACCCAGACCTGAGTGATGGCAGCCAGCATTTAAACTCCTCTTGCTATCCATCTACCTGTATTACAGACATTCTGCTCAGCTACAAGCACCCCGAAGTCTCCTTCAGCATGGAGCAGGCAGGCGTGTAACAAGAAACAGAGAGTGAGTGTCACCCTGGCCAGGGCCAAACCAGCCCTGTGGCCCTGTGCCCGCTCCCGGTCCCGTCAGGAGCTTCAGCCCATGTGTTGTAGTGGCCAGTGCAATCGATAACGCCACGCCTCCCCTCGTGGCTTCACAGTTTCCTACTTTTCATTAAGTGCCCTGCTAGTTTTTACGGGATAGGGGTGGGAGTATGCAGAAGAAATGCTAGACATAGTCTCTCAGTTCAGTTATGGGAGTAAGATACAAGCCCCGCCTCGTGTTGTAGATGCTGTCGCCTTCATAGAGACAGAAGTGAGCTACGGCTCCAAAGGATGGACGTGACCTCTGGCCAACATAATAAGGAAAGGAGATCCTTAAACTCAGTCCTGAAAGACAAAACCTGGCAAGAAAACATGTCTAGCCATATATTTTTTAAGGCCGTACAGAGGCAAGTGGCAGATATTCCAGACTAGGGAAATGTGTGATGAGAGGCCCATGGTAGAAAATGGGGAAATGAGCTCATTTGGCTGGAGTAGTGCAGAGTGAACAGTACGCACCATTGGTCGTATCCGGAAAATCCTTCACAGAATAGACCTGGTGAAAGGGAAGCAGCTGGGCAAATCCACATCAGCACCTCAGTGTGGCAAGCCGCAGAGGGAAAGGGAGCCCACTGAGTTTTTTTTTTTTTTTTTTTTTTTTTAATTTTAAATGGAAATTTGAGTCTTTCTCTCTTCAAGCAAATTCTCCTCTGTGTCCGCTTTATTGCAGGTTGTGTGTACAGCTTGGGAATGAAAAGGTTGATTGAAAACCCACAGTATCTAGCAGCGCTGCGCCAAATTGCCCTGTGTTTCTCTCCACCCAGAATGTCACAGCTCCTCTCCTCACATTTGGTTCATCCGTGTGCTGTTCTTTTGGGTTCTGAGAGGGTTTTGCCATGTTTGCTTGTATGACCAAGTCACCAAGGAAATAAACAGGAAATCCATGTTCTTCATCTTTTGTGAAAGTATATTTGAGTTGGTGGTTTTGTTGTTTCGTTTGGGGGTTTGTGTTTTCTTTTGTTTCTGGTATGTTTTCTTCTGGAAGTGATTTACTTTCTTTTTTCTTTCTTTCTTTTTTTCCTTTTTTGAAACAGGAGAGCAAAGCAGTTAGATCAGAGGCCAGGGGCCTCAGGGCCACTCCCTCCCTAGCCTTCATCAGCCTCCATCCCCCTGCATTGCTCTTCTGCGAAAGCAAATACTAGAGGATGCCATCCTCTAGAATCCTCACGGCAGGCAAAGGGAGAGAGGAAGGGTGACAGCTTCTGGCACTTAGAGAACAAAAAAAGAAACCCCCAAGCCTGGAACCTAGAGAGATCTTTACTGCTGGTATCCACAGAAAAGCATGTCTGTCCCAGCCAAGATCATATGAAGAGTTTAGCGTGGAGGCTGAGAATGACCTGGCATAGATGGTTTGCCAGTTAGAATGTCTCAATTTGAGCCTTTGCTTTTGGTGGGTATCTCAGCTCCCCTCTTGTAACCTGGAAAGTTGGTTGCCTTGATCATCCTGCTGGTTTTATCCATGGACTAAACACCCAACAGCAGTGCACTATGCTTTCTGTGGCATCTTTCATTCTCATTTTATATTGTCTATAAAAAGAATTGTTTCTCCATATATATTATATATGTATGTGTGTATATATATATAATATATATAATATATATATATGCTCTCCCCTTTCAGCCTATTTGTCACAGGCAAGAAGTGTAGGAGGTTGCCTCGGGCCCTGCCTCTCTCCTAACCTCCTCCTCCCCACTGGGCACCCTCAGCCCTGCCTCTCTCCTAACCTCCTCCTCCCCACCGGGCACCCTCAGCCCTGTATTTTAATTCTTGATCATGTAGAAATTGTTTTTGGTAAATGTTGAAATTATTGTTACTGTCATTAATAAATAAAGACAAAATGAATTTTTGTTTAAAAGAGAAATGTTTAACCAGATTCTGTTCTATTTGAATTGTGACTTGCACCTTTTGTTCAAAGTATTTCCTTTAGGCATTGTAATTGTGAACCGCTCTTACTTGTGCCAGTGACAGATGCAGTGATCGCCTTTCCCCAGTTGAAGCAGTGCATACGCAATAGCTATTGTTTGTGTTATCTTTATTTCTCTTCATTGTTAGAAACCAAAGTCTTCTCTGCTGGCTGGGGCTGAGAGAGGGTCTGGGTTTTGTCCTTCTGATCTTCAAAACAAGAGAGAGACCTTGAATACTCTGACTCTACATCCTTTTTTTTTTTCTGGGAAAGGAGAGCAAGAATCCCGAGTCCCCTCCTAGTCTTTCATCCTGAATTTGCACAGAGGAAAGCGGGTGCCCGGCATGGCCATCCTGATATTGCTGGCGGGATCCCCATGCACCATGTCCTTCTCCACTGATACTGGCAGCTCAGCTCCTGGACCCAATATCCCTTGAGTGGAATTCTGCAATGCAAGAACCTTTCCTGGGAGCGTTCCCATGTTTCCATGGTCCCCAATCTCCCTTCCAACCGGTGGGGTCATCAACTACTCACCAGAAGGGGGCTTACCAAGAAAGCCCTAAAAGCTGTTGTTTGACTTCTCTGGGCTTGTTCCAACTCTTATGCCCCCGACTTGCCCTACCACCACCACGCATTCAGCCTGATCTGTTTACATGGTACTGTATGTATGGGAGAGCAGACTGCACCCTCCAGCAACATCAGATGAAAGCCAGTGAGTCTACTAACCGTGCCATCTTGCAAACTACACTTAAAAAAAACTCATTGCTTTGTATTGTAGTAACCAATATGCGCAGTATATGTTGAATGTATATGAACATACTTTCCTATTTCTGTTCTCTGAAAATGTCAGAAGTATTTTTTTTCTTTCTCATTTTATGTTGAACTAAAAAGGATTAAAAAAAAATCTCCAGACTCAAGTTGCTAAGACCTTTTGTCCTTCCTTTTGTGAGGCAACTTATATACAACTTGGTTACTTAGTGGGACAGTAGGAGGTTGTGTAGATAGGAGCCTGACTCTGTTCTTAGCCTGATAGATTATTTGTGCTTCGGAGTATAGTTGGGAGAAGGCTCAGGTAGGTGGGAGCTGGAGCAGCGAAGGCTAGAGAGGTCTCCCAGGCTTAGGGTGGGGCTTTGAATGATTCATGATCTCACCTTATGAAACTCGCATTCTCTAGAAGCCTGAACTCCACTTCACACCCTGTCCCTGGGCATCCAGCTAGGACTCTGCCCTGTCAGAAGGGAGCATTTGAATTTGCTGAGCCAGGTGGAAGACAGCTTCCTTGAAAGGGCACTTTTGAAGAGTACAGGAAAGGATCCTTAAAGAGTGAACACAGGCGGGACTCTTTAAGATGTGACCCTCGTTGGCCTAGTGAGAGTATAGCTAAATAAACATTTGAAAAGAAAGGGATGGGCCAGTCGTGGTGGCTCACACCTGTAATCCCAGCACTTTGGGAGGCCGAGGCAGGTGGATCACCTGAGATCAGGAGTTCAATACCAGCCTGGTCGATGTGGTAAAACCCTGTCTCTACTAAAAATAACAAAAATTAGCCAGGCATGGTGGCATGTGCCTGCAGCTACTCGGGAGGCTGAGGCAAGAGAATGGCTTGAACCCAGGAGGTTGCAGCAAGCCAAGAATGTGCCACTATACTCCAGCCTGGGCAACAGAGGAAGAATCTTAAAAAGAAAAAAGAAGCCGGGGTGAATTTTCCTATAGTTTTCTCCTTTTTCTATAACTGAACTCCAAGGGGCAGGGTAGAGTTTCCAGCAAGGTCCCAGGCATCGCTAAGAGACAGCTGGTTGAAGGTCTATGAAGAAAACTCACTGAAGCTGGAAACACCATCTGAGTTCACGGAAGGAAGAACAAGAGAGAATTTAGAAAGCCAGCTGGGCATGGTGGCATGCGCCTGTAATCCCAGCTGCTCAGGAGGCTGAAGCAGGAGAATTATGTAAGCCCAGGGGTTCAAGTCCAGCCTAGGCAACATAGCAAGAGCCCACCTCTACCAAAAAATAAACTTAATCAGGCTGATGGCACATGCCTTTAGTCCCAGCTGCTCAGGAGGCTGAGGCTGAAGAATCGTGTGAGCCCAGGAGTTTGAGGCTGCAGTGAGTGAACCATGATCACACCACTGCACTTCTGCAAAGAAAAAAGAAAGACTTCAAGTCCATGGGGGGCTGTAGAGCCATTTAAATTAGAATAGAAAAGAGCCTTCTCAAGGAGGGTCTTCTGAAACTCCTGAGTCTGTAATATGCTCTCATGCAAGACTAGGTGAGTCTCTAGGCCCAAACAGTGATCACACCCAGATGCCATCCAACAAATTGTAGCACCTGTTGTAATAAGTGCCACTCCCTCCTAAAATCAGCCAGGGTGGGCTGGGCGCTGTGGCTCACACCTGTAATCCCAGCACTTTGGGAGGCCGAGGCGGGTGGATCATGAGGTCAAGAGATCAAGACCATCCTGGTCAATATGGTGAAACTCTGTCTCTACTAAAAATACAAAAAATTAGCTGGGAATGGTGGCGCGTGCCTGTAATCCCAGCTACTCAGGAGGCTGAGGCAGGAGAATTGTCTGAACCCAGGAGGTGGAGGTTGCGGTGAGCCGAGATCGCGCCATTGCACTCCAGCCTGGGTAACAAGAGCGAAACTTCGTCTCAAAAAAAAAAAAAAATCAGCCAGGGTGCCTTTTGGACCAGGGGTAGGGTGAGATTCTAGAGGAAGCAGAGCACTGGCTCCTGGATACAGACTGGAGAGCTCAGCTCCAGAAAACAGGAACTGTGCTGACAGATTCCTACCCAGTTTTCTTTCTGACTTTGTGCCAGCCCCCACCCCACACCAGCTACAAAGATAAAGAATTCAGAGGGCGGCCTCCCTCCTGCTGGTCAAAGATGAGCTCTGTCCTGGCCTTAGTCCCCTGAGGAGGGCAGGAGAGAATCTTGCTTAGTTGGTGGCAGTGCCCCGCCCAAGGGTCTAACTTGGGGCTCTATCACAAGAGCTGCAGCAAAATTGCCGAATAGGAAATACTGGGGCTAGGAGTCCTGTCTCCCCTGCTTAGTCAGCACCTCCCCTCCCTGAGTCTCATTCTGGCCCACGCCACATGCTCCCAGAAGAAATGTTCTGAGCAGGGATGGTATGTGGCTGCCTCCTCTCCCAGGACCACGCCTCCCTACGACCAGGCTGGTGACCCTCTGTTTAGCATGCCAGTGCCATTCACTGAGCAGATGTTTGGCGGGTGTCTTTTATGTGCAAGACCTAGCAGGGGACAGAGTCCTCCCAGTGCAGACTGGCCAGCACACTGGGGCATAAATTGTGAAAGGAGTCGCTAATCTTTCTGTGCAAAATCCACTCGTGCAGTAGCTGTCAACACTCCCACACTTCAGGGCATCCAGAGCCAGGACTTGGTGACCAGGTCAGGAGCAGTGGAATCTCCCAAGATGAGGAAAAGAAGTGGGTGGAAATAGGGGCCTACAATGGGGGCCCTGCAGCTACTAAACATCCCAACCTATGGGCACTTAGCACCTCGAACAACGCCTGGCTAGACCCTGAGTCTGAGTCCGTCATGAGCCCAGTTGGTGGTAGTTAGTTTTTCCATAGGCTCTGTCCAGAAAGACTTCTTTTCTCTCCAAAATATTAGTAAATGGGCTTTGGTCTAGTTTCAGCCAAATACCTTGCAATGAAATGAAGTGAATTTCATTCCTGGTGAATAAGTATATTTAAAAAAAGGACAGTGGGCCGGGCGCAGTGGCTCAAGCCTGTAATCCCAGCACTTTGGGAGGCCGAGGCGGGTGGATCACGAGGTCGAGAGATCAAGACCATCCTGGTCAACATGGTGAAACCCCGTCTCTACTAAAAATACAAAAAATTAGCTGGGCACGGCGGCGTGTGCCTGTAATCCCAGGTACTCGGGAGGCTGAGGCAGGGGAATTGCCTGAACCCAGGAGGCGGAGGTTGCGGTGAGCCGAGATCATGCCATTGCACTCCAGCCTGGGTAACAAGAGCGAAACTCCGTCTCGAAAAAAAGAACAAAAAAAAAAAAAAAAAAAAAGGACAGTGGCTCATGCCTGTAATCCCAGCACTTTGGGAAGCCAAGGAAGGCAAATCACCTGAGGTTGGGAATTCAAGACCAGCCTGACCAGCATGGAGAAAACTGTCTCTACTAAAAATACAAAATTAGCCAGGCGTGGTGGCACATGCCTGTAATCCCAGCCACTCGGTAGTCTGAGGCAGGAGAATCGCTTGAACCCAGGAGGCGGAGGTTGCATTGAGCCAAGATCGCGCCATTGCACTCCAGCCTGGGCAACGAGAGCAAAATTCTGTCTCAAAAAAAAAAAATAAATAAAAATAAAAGCAAAATACTCCCTGCTTGGTAAGATGCTGTTCAACAGTACCCCCTATCCTGATGCCTTGCAGTCCCTGAGCCAGGAAATTGAGCAGTCCCTGAACAGACTGCAAAGGCTGCAGGCTCTGCAAGGCTGCAAGGCCACCCTCAAAGAACTAGAAGCCAGGCTTTCCCAATTCCCACCCCTGCCAGCGCTAACTAGTAACAGCTGAAGGATGCAGGGCAGCTCTGAACTGCAGTTTTCCCACAGGCAAAATGACAAAGGCAAAATCTGGCCTCCAGCCTTCCAGGGACATTCTAAGTTGTGAAAGTACTTTGGCCACTAAAGAACTGTGCAAATGGTAAGTATTAGGTTTAGCCATAACAATCACTTTAGTAACAAACCAAAGAAAAGAGTAAAACACTGGCAAGTAGGGCCGGGCGCGGTGGCTCACACCTGTAATCCCAGCACTTTGGGAGGCCGAGGCGGGCGGATCACAAGGTCAAGAGTTTGAGGCCAGCCTGGGCAATATGGTGAAACCCCGTCTCTATTAAAAATACAAAAAAATTTGCTGGGCATGGTGGTGCATTCCTGTAATCCCAGCTACTTGGGAGACTGAGGCAGGAGAATGGCTTGAACCTGGGAAGCGGAGGTTGCAGCGATCCGAGATCACACCACTGCACTCCAGCCTGGGCAACAAGACTCTGCCTCAAAAACAAAAGACAAAAAACACTGGCAAGTATCTTGGAGTCCAACCAGTAAGCTTCTGAGATTCCCCCAAGTGCTAGCTGGGATAGACTCTAACCCCCAAAAGAAAGGACCCTCTCTTGGCCTGAGAAATCTGTGAGCTGTCCCCGCAGGGGACCAGCCACCTTCCCACTTTCTAAAGCTACAGACAGCTGGGATGGCCAAGTAGGCAGCCCAGGCTGACGGCTCACTAAGGCCACCTCCCTCTCTGCACAGTCCCACAGACATCTGGGGCCACTTCAGTCCTGGAAAAGATGTCCCATATTTCAGCAACTGCAAGTCAAGGCCAAGCAGAGAAAAGTGGGATTCCTCCCTTCATGCCTGCTGCAGAAGCTGAGGTCTCAGGTGTGGTAAAGCAAGTGTCGTGGGAATAAAGGAAAGAATACCAGAAACTGGGATTCTAGAAAACAGAATAGTTACTACTTACTAAGTGCTAGATACCTTTCTAACAGTTTTGCATATACGTTCAAATTTCATGCTTACAACAACATACATTTATTATCTTACAGTTATGGAGGCCAGAAGTCCAAAATGGGTCACACTGGTCTAAAATCATGGTGGCAGCAGAACTGTGCTCCTTCTGGAGGCTGCAGGGAAAAATCCTTTGCCTTCTGCAGCTTCTAGAGAAGGGCTGCCCATGTCCCTCCCTCATGCCCCTCTTCCAGCAGTCCCAAGTCTGACCTCTGCTGCCAACCCCACCCCTCCTTCTCTGACTCTGACTCCGCTGCCTCCCTCTTACATAATTAAGGACCCCCGAGATGACAATGGGCCCACCTGAAGAATCCAGGCTAACCACCCCATCTCAAGGTCCTTAATCACACTGGCAAAATCATTTTTTGCCATGGAAGGTAGCAAAGT